ATGAAGAAGAACAGATCACATGGTGTGAGTCAAAATGAGAATGAGAGCGACCGAGTTGATCACAGACAGACCACTTACAGTTGATGCCCAAGCAGGTGACGGAGGCGGTGAGTCATTCTGCTAAATATCGTTGGCCAATTAGAATTGGTCGCCCCTGAAAATGTGGATCATGGTATCATGTGATTACAAAGCATGTGATAGATAATGAATAGTCATGTGATTTATGTACATAACTTAAAATATCTTGGCAACGGCCCGAGCCATCTTTATGATGTCATTTCTAGAAAGCCTGCTGGAGCAAACCGAGCACTATCGTGTTGCCACAGCCTATATGTCGTGAAAGGTCACCATCTATGGATATAGCTGGGACTTAGGAACAACGCTCATTGGAAGAGCCGCGATTTTAACTGGAGGTTGTGGTTAGTCCGGGGTCCCGGCCCAAATAGATCTGTATAGTTACACATTGCCTAGCTTGCATCTGATGTCTATTGTGAATGAAGTCGATCATGATAGCAAACAATGAAAGTCATGTAACACTTCTTTAAGAGGTCACAATGAGGCCAGACAAGTCTATATAAACCCCCCTCTTTGCCTTTTCGGCTATTCTTCCTTCGTCAACATTTTATACTTCCAAACTACATAGTTTACTCCTACTTTCAAGCACCAAACTTCAATCAATCTTCATCATGTCTGACACTGGTCGCAAGGATCTTACCACCAGTACGTGCCACTGCTTTACCTTTCAAGATGTTAAGACATCGTTAATGACCACTTCTTCCTACAGAGGCCAAGAAGGAGCCCATCCCTGACCCCGATCAGGACAAGTCTAAGAAGGAGATCGTTCCTGATCCCAACCAGGACAAGTCCAAGGAGACTGTCACTGACACCACCGACCGCGCTGCCCGCGGCTTGAAGACTGATGATAGCAAGGGTATAAACCAGGATGGCTTCGGCAAGATCCAGCGTGTCAGTGACAACCACGGCCGCAGTGGTGCCACTGGGTCAGCGTAAGTTACTCTGTTATTGGAACCAAAGAGTTATATCCTAACTACCTCTAGTGGTGACAAGGCTAAGGGTGCTCTCGGCCTCGGCGGCAATTAAGATGGTTTCCCTTAGGTGAGTAGTCATTATCATGGTCATTCCATGACTTTGCGGGCAGCCCTGCACTACTCGAGACTCATCATGAGTTGACAATACCATTTGCGGCTTTTTATTAGCCAGAGAACCTGCTCTTTAAATACATCTTCAAGTGGGAGACGCTTCATTCATTATGTAGACCAAACGTTGTAGAAGGAAGGCCAAAGTATATAGAAAGCTGGCTTTAGTGCTGCTCGCCTATACTACCATTGAATCTCGTTGTCGCCTAAGTTGTTTAAGCTCGCGTTCTAGCTCCTTATACTTTGCCCGTGCCCCTGGGGTGTCCTTGGGAAGATCATGGAACGCCCTCACGCGGCCTTGCAGAGCCTTGACCGTCTCCCGCATCCTGATAACATTCTCCTCCTCCGCCATCAGCTCTTCAATAGTCGGTCCCCGGGGCTGGACTTTTTCTAATGATGCAATGCGATCTTGGTATTCCCCAACCTTGATCGCAAGTGTCTTCGTGCCGCGTATCCATTCCGACGTCAAGCTTTGTGTATCGGAAGGAGTCTCATACGCCACATCGGTCCTCAATTCCTCAAGCTCCGTCTGTAGCCGTACCAGCTCTTGCTGGAGATACCGATGCAATGTGTCGACCTTTGCAATTTGCTCCTGGGCCTCGAACTCCTCCACCGTGAGCTCCACAATCGACTGCCCCAAATCCCCCGGGTTCGGGTTTAAGGTATTGCCCAGAGCTACGGCAGAGTCGGCGAGGTCCTCTAGATCGCATCTTCCTTTATCATCCAAACACATTTCCACTTCATCAAGGAGTTGATTCTTCACTTGTTCGTGGGGATCTTTGCGTTCGAACTCTTCCCGTAGTTTGTATGCCTCGACCGCCTCTTCGCGCGCGCAATGCTGTAGAGAGGCTTCTTCATCTGCAGCATCATTTGCTGCAGCTAGGGTCAGGAGGACACGTAGGGTATCTTCATTGCGCTCGAACTTGGGGACCGGGTTGGGCGCGTATTGTCGATTGAGCCAGGAGTTCACGTACGCCCAATCTTTAGCCTGAATAGCGGCCTGGCGGGCCTTGGCTGGAGAAACGAGTGGACTATCCATAAGTTCAGGTAGCATGCAATTCCAGAACTGAATCAGTTGGGCAAATCACGCGAGGAAATAAGTAGAGTAATGTGTTGACGATAAGATGCGGCGAAGGCGGTCGATGCGCCAAGTCGGAGGTTGTCCTCTACTTCCCCTCGCCGACTCCCCGCTGGTTTGCTCAAACAACAATGACCAGCTACTTCCCACCAAATGGTAGTGCCAATAATGGCGCTAATACGCCGACCGCATCATCTTCATTATCCCCGCCAATGCAGCGCCCGAACGCCCTCACCAATCGGTTGACAACAGTTCTGTCGGCGTCGTATGCGGACTCAGACATTCGAGACTCCCTCGAGACTTTGAGCTTGAGGGGCATTCATAATACTGCAGAAACACGTCGGCAACTACGACTAGATGTGCAAAAAGAAGTTGTCGATTGCAATGCGGAGATTGTCAAGGACTTTGGGAAAGTGGCAGAGGTGAGACTCCTATTGCTCCTTTAGAGATTGGGATCCAGAAGTCTAATTCCTGAATGGCAATAACAGCAATTGAGACGGATTGGAACGGTGGTCTCAACACTTAACCAGACATGCGACGATATGCGCAAACGAATCAACCTCGCGAAGCAGGATACCACGCCCGTACTCGAGGAGGCCAGCACCCTGATGACACAGAAGAAAGAGACCGAGACCAAGCAACAGCTGTTGGAAGCCTTTTCGAAGCATTTCTTAGTTCCGGAAGAGGATGTATTAGTCTTGACATCGGCCGAGGAGCCCGTTGACGAACGGTTCTTTGATGTGCTAGCTCGTGTCAAGCAAGTGCATCACGATTGCGAAGTCTTGCTCGGCGGCGAGAACCAGCGACTAGGCATGGAGGTGATGGAATTGAGCACCCGGAACCTCAATTCAGCATATCAAAAGCTCTACCGATGGATCCAAAAAGAATTCAGGTCCTTGAATCTAGAGGACCCTCGCATAAGCAGTACGATCCGTCGCTCTCTACGAGTGCTGGCAGAACGCCCGAGTCTATTCCACAGCTGTCTGGATTTCTTTGCGGAGGCGCGGGACTATGTGCTGTCCGATGCTTTCCACTATGCACTGACTGATGCTGTTTCCGGGGCCAATGGGCCTGGCACCGGTGATCACACTGTCAAACCGATTGAGTTCTCAGCGCATGACCCGCTTCGGTACATTGGTGACATGCTTGCGTGGGTGCATTCCACAACTGTATCAGAACGAGAGGCTCTCGAGTCGTTGTTTGTTGATGACGGGGACGAACTCGCTCGGGGGATTGAAGTCGGCCTCAGTAGCGAGCCTTGGTCGCGCATCGATGAGGGCCAGGCGGTTGCCTTTGATGGCCAAAAGGCACTTAGTGACTTGGTTAACCGCGATCTTAATGGAGTGTCTCGATCATTACGGCAGAGAATAGAGCTTGTCATTCAGAGCCATGACGACCCTGTTACTTGCTACAAGGTGGTGAACTTGCTGTCCTTCTACCGCACAACTTTCACCAGACTAGTGGGCGAACAATCGCACTTGGTGGATCTGATTCAGAGCTTGGAAAAGTTCACTCTTGGCCACTTTGAGACTTTGATGCGAGACCAGATCAGCGCCTTGGCGGGCGACCATATTGCTCTGACTCCATCAGACGACCTGTCGCCCCCACAGTTCTTGCTAGAAGCATTGGAAGGCCTAGAAGTACTGATGAAGACCTATGAATCTTCTGTCGGACCAGAGGATTTATCTCCAGACGCGAACAACGAGAACCCATTCACTTCTGTCCTCCGGGCCGCCTTCGATCCATTCCTCACACTAGCCCGGTCCTCATCCGATGAACTCCAAACCACCACAGCGCAGTCCATTTACCGCACCAATATACTCCTTGCAGCCCGCGCAGCTGTGTCACCCTTCCCCTTCGCCAGCTCCACACACGCCCCTCCCATTTCTGCCGCCCTATCAACCCTACGCAACGATCTTCTCGACACCCAACACCAATTCCTCCTCGAGGCCTCTGGTCTTAAAACGCTCTTAGAGGCCCTAGAGCCTTTCTCAGACACCGCCGAAGACAAGACCGAAAAGCCAGACCAGCAGAAACCCCAACTAGCCGATTTAGCCAATCTCCCGGCCTTCCAACCAGAGTCCCTGATTACATCCAGCCAACAACTCGATGACTTCCTCCCGTCTGCGCTTATGGACGCAACCGATAACCTGAAGCGCGTACAAAGTCTTTCCCTTATTCAGAGCGTCACCGAGGATGCAGTCGAAGCATTCTGTCGTGATTTCGAGTTCATCGAAGGTATGATTATTGCCGCCGACGAGGCGCGAGGAACTGTGAATGTGGGCATAGGAACCGGGGCCAGTGTTAGCGGCCGGAGTGGTAAATCCGATGGCAAGACTGAAGCCAGTGAGAAGGAGGACGAAGAAGGCGAGGGTGAAAAGTGGAGTTTGAGATCGTTGTTCCCTCGAACAACAGGGGAGATTCGGGTGTTGTTGAGTTGATCTATATATTCCCTGTACAGGTTGTACTTAATTCATATCTAAATGTACAATGAAACCACCTGCAGATGCCCCGAGCTTTGGTTTATAGTGTAATACTATCAGTTGATGGGTCAGGTCGGTTCCAAAATATATATCTCTGAAATGTAGATTTGACACACATTTGGCTGTTTGAATATAGGCTCAAGTTAACAGGAGAAGAAAGAAGAATCGCTATTGAATTTTTATAATTCTATCTAAGATACAAGGACCCCACAGACAAGGAGGTGTAAAATAGAGACAGAGCAGAACCAAAAAAGCTCAAGATGAGGTAAATCCAAATCTACTCTATCCACCTCGCTCGCCAAATTCTTTTGCCCAATCTTCATATTTTCGGAGTCCGTCGTGGGACACACTAGGCCGAATAGAATACAGACTTGCCTCGAAGTCTTCGAATTTAATAGGGCGGATCTGGTCCATAGGTGTGTGTAAGAGGGCCTCGCCCAGATTACGTAGGGGACCCATGGCTGCATCTTTGGCGAGAGCTGTTATATCTGAGCCGGAGAAGCCTGGGAATGTCAATTAGCAAGCCGAACTAGAGCATGGAAAAAAAAAGGATACACGGGAAAAAACATACCTTCTGTCACCTGTACCAGGACCTGGATATCCGCGTCGCTCAGCTCGTGGTGCTGGTGACTGATAAGCCTGCGTAGCTGCTGCTCGCGGACATGATGTTCGGGCAAGGGGATATACTGACGACGGACGAAGCGGCGTCGTGCAGCCTCGTCGATGTCCCAGGGCATATTGGTAGCGGCTAAGACGAGGACACGACTAGCATCGCCTTCCTTCTTCTCGCGGCTTGTTTGTTCGCGGCCTGCAGCTGCGCGCTGGAGGTCGGACCACTGAACCAGGAATTCGGTCTTGGAGCGGCGGGAGGCCTCGTGTTCTGAGCCAGATGATCGGGCTGAGAGGAGGGAGTCGATCTCGTCGACGAAGATGATGGATGGAGCAAGGGCTTTGGCGAGCCCGAAGAGGGCGCGCACGAGCTTCTCGCTTTCGCCGTGCCATTTGGATGTTAGACTTGAGGCGGAGATGGAGAAGAAGGTTGACTTGGATTCTGTGGCTACTGCTCGTGCGAGCATGGTTTTGCCGGTGCCCGGGGGCCCGAAAAGGAGCATTCCGCGAGCTGGTTCGCGGAGACCAGAGAAGAGGTCCGGACGGAGGAATGGGTAGACGACTGCTTCTTTGAGCGCCTTTTTGGCTCCTTCTAAGCCTGCTATGTCCTCCCAGTGTACTTCGTCCCCGCGTACTACAATGTCGTTCAGGATTTGCTTTGCTGACTGGGGATCCACGCCCCTAGGCAGCTTTTCCATGATTTTTAAGATTTCACTGTCATCTTCCTCATCCTCATCCTCTGCATCGCTTGCTGTGTTCCGATGCTCTGAAGACTCCTGGTCGCTTGACAGTGGTGTCTGTTCTTTTTTGACTGGTGGGGCTTTTCGCCGTATTGTACTATGACTATGCCCTTGAGAGATAGCCAGCCGGTCGACACCGTGATGGAGATCATCACCGCTAGGGGATGATGGAGAAGCGCGGGATGTTTCGCTAGCTTTGGGAGGTCTGGGTGCAGATTTTGTCCGTGGCTTATCGTGGGAGGAATGTGCTTCACGGTCGGGCCTAGGCGTCATACTCCGAGAAGGATTCTCCGACTTGCTGGCTTGTATTGGATCGCTTGTCGGTTGACGGGAAGATCGCAATGCCACAGGCTTGGGTTTGATGGATGGTTTAGGTGGTGCAAAGGCAAAGTCAGCCGGGTTTGGCATGGTCATTGAATGCGGAGGATGTTGTGTTTTAGGGCTGCCAGGTTGAGGTCGAGGACCCCGCGGCGGCGGCAGCTGACTAGGCGACTGAGGAGGTAGTCTGGGAGACGATCTCCTCGGAGATGAACTAGGAGGCTCGCGCCAATGGGCAGCAGGGATGTGGTCCGCGGATAGATGGTCTCGGGAGAGGCGAATTCTCGGCTGCGGAGGCTCGTCTCCCGAACTAGATTTCGGGTCTAACTCTCGGTGGAAACTGGGATCGTGGGCGGCGCTTTGCCGGGATGAGACTAGAGCCGCATCGCTCACAGGCTTCTTACCCGATGTAGAGCGATAGATGCTACCCCATGCTAGGCCTGCAGCTGTGGAAGCAGCAGGCCTCAAGTCCTTCTTCTTTGATGTGACCTTGACTTTCTTACTGTGCTTCTTGCCGTCGCTGCTACGAAGTGTTGTCAACATGGGTTTCCGGTGCTCGGGACTGGAGCCACGCGACTTCGATTTGCCCGAAGAGTTTGAGTTCACACGCAGTGCAGGCGTACCAGCTGCCGAAAGGGTCGCTGGACCAGCATCGTCGTAAGCTGGCGGTGGCTCATGGCTTGGTTTCCTCGGCAGCACAGGGCGACCGGGAATGGCGGCTGGTTTGGAAAGGTCGGTGTATCCCACAGCAGGGATTGTTCCATCTCCAATCCAGCCAGGGGTGTTGGAAGTCGATGGCGGCGGCATGATAGCTAACTTGCCCTTCACATGGGGACCATTCTCTTTACTACCATCTGCAGATTCTCTCCTGCTGGCTTGTAGAGCACCTAGTAGATCGACTCGTTCCCGGCATTGCACCTCAAGCGCCCGGATGGAGTCCTGCAGGGCTCTCTCGGTTTCAGATTTCGGGGTATAGTTCGGCGGTACTCGACGGGCATTGTGATGGTAGACAGTCTCGAGGGCGGTTCTCCAGGACCGTAATGCTTCGTCTTCGTTGTTCTGATATAGTGAGCATCGGGGAGCGGCAGTCGGACTAGTGAACTTACCTGGCCCTCAAAGTACACCGCGGTGGAGCACGCGAGATAGCACTCGTCGTACGTCTTCTGCAAGGAATCCGCAGGCCGTGGGCGCATCATTTGGAATATACAGGCCCGCCTGTATCCATTTCACGGACAAGTTGGCGGAGTTGGTGAAAGCGATGATCTCCCGTAGGTGGAGGGGGAGGATTTTTCGCGTGACGTCGTCGATTTCGGAGTTAACTGCATGCGTCCAGTGAGCTACATCGTCGCATTTTTATACAAATCAATTGAGTAAAAGTTATCATCTCTAATTCCTAACGTCTATGGGTACATGCAAGATACTAAAAAAACATAAGTTATAGTGATGCCACAAGAGAACCCAGCCCTCTCAGGAAACAAAAATAAAGAACCAGAGGTTTTTCCAACGCCGGTCACAGTATAGGACACATCGAATGGAAGATATTCATCGAAGTATCCAGGAATAAGAAAGAAAAGCACCAGATTTAATCTCCGAAGTCGAAAGTGGCCGTGTCCCGTTTCCCCCAAAACTATACATTGCCGAAACGCTTTTCATGAAAAGCCCTAAACATGCAAGATCAAAACCCGAGCGATGCTGGCTCGGGATGCGCCACAATGAGGGTTGCTGGGCTCCGCCCAATCCCCCCAATCCATAACATATTGTAAAAGAACAGACCCCATGTCGCCCGAAGAGACCAAAGCAAGATTATATGATGCACACACAAACGTGGTATATCGAACAAGTAGCAAGTCCATGGGATGGGACCCATGGCGAGCCACATGCGAGAGGATCAAGTCGTTCATTTAGTCGAGGTGCTTCTTGAAGTATGCCTTAGCCATTTCATAAGATGTCCTGGAGAAGCAGTCAGTAAAGATCAGATATTAAAGAACCGAGTCTCGGAATGGAACGTACCAGCAAATTGCAGTGCTCGGCATAGTTGAAATAATCCGAGGGCCCATACCACGCAGGAAGCCAGACCAACCAAACCGGCGCTTGATGATGGCAGCGGCGTTGAACAGACCCTTTGCAGACCGCACCTCCGCGCTCTCGGCGAGGCCACGGGTCTGAAGGAGCGTCTTTACGACATCAAGGGGAGTGGTAAGACCAGCTGCGAAGGCACCGGCCAGACCACCTGCAATGCAGTGGGTGAATGGGTCGTACTCATTCTTGGGGTTCATGACCTTCGAGATCGACTCGTAGGCAACGAATTGGGTGGCCGTGAAGGGCACGGTCATGCAAAGTGTGGTAGGGTAGGAGACGTAGAAGGCCTGGAGACCTTCGGTGCGGTAGAGGGTCTTGGCGCATTGCGCCAGGCTCTTGTGAACTGAGCCGTGAACCTGCATACGTTGCTTCATGACTGGAGAAGAGTTAGCTGTGCATGGTTTATTGCCACATGGGGCACTTACCATCAAATGGGTTCATCAGCGCATCGCTGGCAATGGTAGCGGCCGAACCACTCATAGCTGCACGATATCATGTCAGTTGTTGCACAATTATATCAATTCAACAGTTCCGAAAATCTTACCGGCAGCCAAGGGGTGATGTCCATCGTCGACATTACCACCAGCCATTTCCTTCACGATCTCATATGTACCGAAGTAGACAGCGTGTGCGGGACCTATCGTCGCAAATCAGAAATTGCACCTTTAATCCGGGACTTCTCGCGATATACACACCTGCGCCGACAATCACACTCGAGACTCCCTTCCATAGTGTCCGCCAGCCCTCAACTCGATAGATTGTAGAGACCGCGTTGGTCAATCCCGTGTAGAGACCGCCAGCGGAAGGAGTCAGGATTTGCATGCGAGTCTAGCGATGTTTAAAAGTCAGCGCTCAGTCCTTTTCCAAGTCCTAATACCTCCAACCAAAAATCAAGCTTACCTTGAGCAAGTCAACAGGGTACATGACCGAGTGTTCCTTTAATCTGATCAGCCAAAATCCTCAAACACCGTTGACAACCAGTAAAACATACTGCTATCCCCGCGAAAGCACCAGCGAGCATATTCCGGCTGAGACCATAGTTGGGGGGAAGGGCTTCATAGCTAGAACAGATTGTATCGCATTAGCTTAGGCCACACAATTGAATTCCAGAGCGACAACAGGGCGAACAAGAAAGTCAGGATGCTCCACACGGACAATCGAGCAATAGCCAGAGTAGATAATATCTCTCGAAAAGAATATGCTTTTGTCCCTGTGTTCGTTCATTCCCGCGATCCCGATGCCCGATTGCCTGGGGAAAAAAACCGATCTAAGAGCGACATACTCGAATTCCTGTCCGGGGATTTGATCGGAAGCCGCCATGGAGCTTCCGCTAGCTCAAGGCGCAGCTGTAGCAGATGAAGAGTTCGTACAGAGAAGAAGGGAGGGTAGTTGACTGCGGCGGAGGGCGGAGGAATGGAAAAGTGAAGATGAGATAAACAGGGATTAGGTTAGAGATCCCGAGGAAGGAACAGCACAATGCCAACACGAGACGACAAGAACAAAAAGCCAACCAAATGGGAGAGTAAATGAACAAAGAAATAGAAGAAGAACTTTTTTTTTTTCCCTTTCAACGGAATAGCTGGAAATAATTGGAAATTTAGGTGTTTTGGACACAAAAACCAGGAAACGGCGCTAGGGAAATTATCCACCCAGCTTGATTATTAGGATTATTAGGTATCCTATACTCTAAAAACCTTTATTATTTCTGTTCTGTTGACTGCTAGAGCCTATTTCCTACCTATTCCCATTCTATATTACTTATTCTCCTTACTTCAATCCCCTAGAGGTATTCCGTAGCTCTGGAGGAGGTATGCATTGCTTATTCAGAATCGGCGGCCAGACTCCGGGGGCCTCCAGCTGCTCCATGCGTCCATGCCTCGGGACTAACTCGACCACAAGAAAAGGCCGAACTACATAACTCGTATTCCGTACAGCTCCGGACAAGAATAAAGGCCTATGTTGTTTAGCGTCAAACCCCGTACAAGTAAGTACCGATAAATGGAAGAGTAAAAAATCTCCGAAACTTCCGATGACGGAGTTTAGGGGGCAGATCCTGGTGCCAACACCTTAAATTTTTATGTAAAGTACCATACCAGTACCTTCGCAGTGTAGCGCCAACGGTACAGGTACACCGCAGGTACCTGATTTAATCAATCAGATAAGATGGCTACCCTAACAAACCCGTCTTCGCCCTTGACCACATTTCGCCTAACTCATGTTGAGTGGAGCTTTGGCTTCTTCCTGGTCTTCGAGAAGGATTTTCTTTCGATTGGAACCCCCGATAACCCACCCCCTTTATACATACATACCCGGGTGTGCTTGGTTTATATTATATGTCATATTGCATTATTAACTTTTGCTCTCGTTTCAACGAACTTGGCAGACAAAGGGAAAGCAGAACACGCGACCTGTGACTGGGGAATGCCGAGGCCCGGTGGGACCACAAGCCGCGAACTAAACTCATCTGGTCTGCTATATTGGCTTGGTTCCTGCTGACGGCCCCCTGTTTCTCACGGGAAAACCTTGCACTTCAAGTCATGGGATAGATCGGACGCGGTGTATATTAGTCTGGGCTGTCATAGAGACTGATAGAGTCACTTTATATCGTGTAGGAGCGTATGTGGGCAGTCACTACGCTTAGTAAGGTCAAAGGGAAGGTGCGTTGAATGGGGGAATTTCACCCTGCTATAATACCTGAGAATAATCATTTCTGTAAAAGACCGCTGCGCCTGAACTCAAAACAATGAGGAAACAGAAGATGAAATCTGATGAAAAACACTCCCAAAAAAGCCCCCATCAAATGAGGATACATGCAGGCTATTCAAGCCAATTCGAGGAAGCGGGACAAAAAAATATGCCTATGTCAGCCTTGGAGATGGATAGATCTGGCCGTTGCTGTTGCGAAACAGTGCAAGGGCGATGATTTCAACGGTTTAATGGTCAAGGATGATGGAGAAAGGAAAAGGTATGCTGGAACTTCTTGTAAAAAAATAGATGTCGTTCACGTCGTCAAGATCTCGTCCGGAGTCTCCGGCGAGAGAAAGCTGAAGATGGTTTGTCAATTACCAATCAATGTTAAATGTCCACTCTCCTAGCAACAGGTGTTAGCAATGTACTCAAATGATATCTAAGATTCCTTTACCATTCTTCAAGTTTTCAGCAGTGACACTCAATAGAATCACCCGGCGGTTGTTGCAGTAAGTAGTCTTGTCCAGGATATCGACCTTGAGTCCTGCCAACTCGGCAACTGGCTTCTCGAACATCTCACTGAGACTCTCAACGGCCATTTCCAAATCCTTCTGGTTATCCTCAAATATCTCGGTCAGATTGTTGCGAGCAAGGTAAAATGCAAAGGCGTAGGTCCACTTCAAGGTCTGGCGACACTGCTGCAGGGCCTGCGACGCGGTGTCCAGGAACTGCACCTCAATCCAGGACAGACCAGACTGTGACTGAAGGCTAGTCATTTTCTTCTCGGTCTTCAGGTACAAGTCCTTGTCGAGCTTGGCAGACTGTTCATGGTTCGCATAGCGATTATAGTAATGCAGGTAGCGCTCCAGGGAGGAACGCGATTTGGCTTGAGCACTGCGAGCATCCGCGCCTGACTTTTCTTCGTAGCGGTTGCAGTTATACCAGCTCGTGCCATGCTCGGACCACAGACCCATACACATCCAGCAGAACTCGTACTTGCACTTGCGGCACGTCATGTGGTTACAGCCACCGTTCTTCTCGATCGTCGAGTTACACTTGGTACACTCCTTGGTGTTTGCCGAGATCCAGTTGGCCGTCTCGGAGTCATCTTCACATTTCTGTAGCCACATCTTGACCAGCGTGCATGGAGTGGGCTGGTGGTCGCTGAGGGAACAGCCGAAGCAGAACTCATTCTTACAGAAACATCGCACTGTGGGAACTATGCGACGGAGATCACGTTGCTTTACCCCACAGTCAATGGCGTATTGGCAGTTTGGCGCGGGACACCATTTTAGGTTCTCATTGTCGTCAACGTATGTTCGAGTTAGAAGTTCACGGTATCTGTAGTGAGACATGTGTTAGCGAACTCTTGCTTTCGCCTAAAACTACCTGCATAAACACGCACCTTCCTTGAAGCTCCTTTGTCACGAGCAGATCCAGCGACTTAGAGTCCACGATGCGATTACAGCGGTCGCCTGGACACTGGATTCGACTAGCCTCTCCTTCTTCCTTGATTTTCTGCCCCAGGTAGTGCCGATAGCAGCCGACACAATATCGGTGACCACAACGCATGGCATACGTCTCGAGATCATCACCGTCCTCGCAGCAGATATCACACATGAAGCCCGGGATGCACTCGGTCTTCGCAGTCCCCTCAAAGTTCGATCCAAGACCAGCCTCCTCCAGCGTCTGCTCCGGATGCTCCATATAAGACTCGATCAACTTTTCTTTGTTCCACCGGCCGAACCGTAACAAAATCGCCGCCGACTCAGGCGGCAGTCCAAGAATGGCGCAAACCTCGTTGACCTGGCCAAGCTGTTCATGATCGATATCTGCAGGAGCAAGAACCTTGAACTCGACTTCGTATGGCTTCTTTTTATGTTTAATGAGGTCTTTATCGTCCGAGAATCCGGCGTCGAGATCATCGAAGTCTGCTCCCCAAGGCACATCTGTTAGTCACTATACTCGAGACACAGTCGCACAAAACATAAACAACGCAAGATCAGGCATGTACCTTCACCCAAGCTCTCATCGTCAGAGCCCTGGGTACCCAAGAAATCATCCTGGCTGGAGACGTCGCTCATGAAATCATCGTCAGAGTCCATGCTGGCGGTAGTGGGTGTCGCAGGGGGCCTGTTCTTTAGGTCGGAATTTCCGAGACGTTCTCTTTCTGTGGTTTCTGTTGTGGTCGCTGTTGACTCGCTTTGGTGGGAGAACCTGTCGGATGTATTGAGTTTCCGGAAGCCGTGGGCGGCTTTTGGCAGTGCCTCGTCCGCAATCGCCTCAGCCGCCTTTCTCTTTCGTGTAGTGGGAGGCGTGGTGAAGGTAGCGGCAAAAGTGCCGACAGGGGGGGGGGGGGGGGGAATGTTATAAGTGAGAGATCGGGCCAGACGCCACTGGGTAAAACCTGTGACGGGCACGGGTAGAGGGGAGTGGGGAAGCGTAAGATCTCCGGGCTGTTGCCCCCGAAGGCGGCTCGAACCGGTATTCGAAGGTATTCGAAGGAATTACGATTTTCGTGATATTTGAATGTCTACAATTTTATTGAGTCTGGAACAAAATCAGACGTTCGTAGGAGTTCGTAAATAAAGATTCCATGGTTGGTCAGCTGATGTCTAAATATCCGCCTCTTTCAGCGCCCATTGACTCAGATATGAATCATTCCACTTGTCAGCCTTATTGCAGGCTCCGCTTTCGTGATAAAGACTCATGGTAGCCTGTCAAAGAAGATGGTATATTTGACTCTAATAAAAAATATCCTAGGGTTTGAATTACATATGTGAAAGGAATTTTGGAATATCATATTGGAATTTTAATAAAACCATGTGGTATCTACTCATCATCACTCTCTTCCTCGGATTCTTCCTCGCTACTCTCCTCCTCTGCCTCGGCAAGCCAGTCAACAAATTGCTGGGTCTGGTTACGGACAGTCCGCATCTCTTCGGAGTTACTGGACCGCTCATCATTCCACCACTGGCCGTAAGCCTCCTCCTCGATAAGGTCAAGTTCATATAGAGACTTGGCAGTAAAGAGAAGGACCATATCACCCTTATTACGATGAATAAGATCCTGCTGGAGCGCGAGCAGTAGATCAACCTGGTCCTTCTTTTGTCCCTTGCTGCGATCGAATAGAGTGCGCTCAATAACCTCCTTGTATGCCGTAAAAACCTCATTGACTGCCGGACCGGCACCCTTGCCGCCCTCCATGAGCTGCTGGATGTGCTTCATAAACGATGTTACGATAGCGCGACGGACCTGGTTGTCCGAGGCGTTGGCGCTCATACGCAGAGTGACCAGCTCAAGCTGTACCACGTCTGCTGCCACGCCTTCGCGTAGACTGTCGAACAAGCTGACTGATGCATCGTGGTGGAAATTGTCTGAATCTTCGTCGGCGGAGAAACTGCTCCGCTCAGATCGTGCCCAGGAGGTATTTGAGACCTCGGATGATAGTGTTGAAATGGAGGCGGAAGAAAGTGAGAGATTGGGCATGCGGTACACTGTGGATAGCATAAATTAGTAATGCGGACCCGAAGAAGCACACTAGAAAAAAACATACCAAGTCCCGATGAGGCTACGCTCACGTCGTCGTCCTCATCTTCCTCTTCCTCGCCGTGAATAAACTCATAGCCCTCGCCTCCTTCGCCAACGACTGCGGGATCGTTCTTGCCCACACTGCCGTCGTTTCGAGTTTTCGTGATACGCTTCCCACTCTCCACCCAGATGTTATCTGCGATTTTGACACCATAGGAGAGAAGCGATCCCGCTGCAACGGCACAATTCTTACCGAGAACCACGCCATCAGCGATAATCGCCCCACGGACGTCTGTGTTATCGCCGATCACGACATCGTCCCAAATATAGGCACCATCCAGTTTGACATTGCGGCCAATTTTACAGTTTCGACCGAGTACGGAGTTGTGGACTTCTGCCCGGTCCCCAATACTAGTGCCTTGTCCGATGACTGTGCGGCGCCCAATGACGCAAGAGCGTGCCAGGGTCACCCCTGTTTCTTGGTACATGCTGCCCTTACGAAGGGTGAACGTGTGACCAGGGAGCAGGTTAGTATCCGGGCACAAGGGATATGTCCAGCGCGAGAGAACATCCTTGCTAATCGCGTCGTAGGCCTTCAGGTTGCGCACGCGCGCAGCGTAGTGGTCCTTGACAATGTATGTGTGCAGAGTCTTGCCGTTCAGCTCATAGTCTTTCAAAACACCATACAGGTAGTGTTTCCGGGGGGATTGGTAATCGAAACTATCCGACCATAAGCTCAGTACGTCCGGGGTGCAGATATCGATGCTGCAGTCGATCAAGTCTTGGCGGATGTCCAGTTCGGGGTGTTTGAGGATAATTTCGGCGTCAATGTTCAAGCGAGAAGAATGCTCCTCGTCTGCATGGCGGTCGATTTCCTCGTAGTGGAGACAGCGGTCCTTAGTGGGGTCAATGACAAAAATTGGCGAGATTGAGGTGGACTTGGTCCTGTGCTGTAGGCCAGCCTCTCTTAGAACCATGGTCATGATCGCATTCTTGTCAAGTGCTCGACGCGCCCGGTGCTGAGCTAATGCGCCCTCGATGGGCAGGTTGCTGATCACATCGCCGCTCACGACAATGAAGTCTCCAGTAATGAGGTGTTTTCCGTCCAGGTCGCGCATAACGTCACCAACAGAGGTAGAGGTCGACTTAAGGAATGTCAATTGCTTGAATGGAGAAGACAGGGCCCTCCATTTTGATGCACTAGCAATATAGGTCAGCTCTGCCATCCGTATTAGAGAAAGTCCCTAGGGCAAACCTACTTGATGTATTTCTCCAGCTGATCCGAGTGCGCTCCTCCGTAGAGGAAGACCTCCTCCACGCCCGCATTGGCCAGAAATTCGAGGGTGTATTCGATAATCGGGGTATTTGCGAGTGGCAAAAGGCACTGTAATAATTTGGTTCGTTAATTCGAGGTCTTGCGTATAGATGGTTTGCTGTAGAACATACACGAGGCTTGTCACGGGTGAAGGGCTCGAATCTCGTCTCGAAGGTATCTGCGAACACCTAAGCAAAGCACAGGTCAGTAAATATATAACACATAGAGAAGTCACGCAAGCATTTGCCAACTGCTAGACCTACCACAGCTTGGAAGGTCTCTTCCACTTCCTCCGCCGCATTGGGCTTTGGTTTTTGCCCAGATTTCTGCTTGGGGGCCATTGTTGTAGGCGTGTGAGCAACGAGTGCTCTATCAATCTAGAGAATCGCAAGAACTATTTTTCGTGAATAGCCGGTGGAAGAGCGGAAGGGCTGTTTTTCGTTAAATGTGTTAACAACCCGTTAAACCGAAGGTTGGCGAAAGTAAACTGAGAGATTTCAGGAGGGATTTTCAGATACCGTCTCCAGAAATAGCACACAAGAAACGCGGTGATCTTGTTATCAAAGAAGAGCACAAAAAAGCCTCGGAGTCATCCCGCCCACTTGTTTGCATTGTTTGCACTCCAATGCGGTCAACCAGTTGCCTTAGGCATACAGTCTTAAATAGGTTTAGTCTAAAGATGTAGATGAAGCTTAAGTACGGAATAGATTAGAATTAGAATGAATACACAGAATCTGCTAGCTGTATATACGTCGGGTGGTACATTTTTTCCCTCATGTCCATGGGATTTCGAGTGTTCATTTGGGATGAAGACTCTGTGTCTTCACCTGCTGCTGTAATACCGGTCACATTCATCTATTGATTTCTATAATCTGGCTTCACAAGCCAACCTCCCGAGTAACAGGACGTGGAAAAGATGGTGACCAGTGACTTTCCTTGGAGAACGCGTTGCAAGTCTTTCATTTTGAGGAAATGATTTCCTACAAAAACATGATGATCCAAGGAGCCATGGCCAAATATCAATAACACTAAGTGTTCATTCACGCGCTCAGCTTCGATTGCTTGTTCGCGTACAGGAGATCATCTCGGGAGACAACACGCGAATTCCCAAGGGCCAAGACTTCTGAGAGTCTCTAGGAGTCAAGGACGACGCGACAGGTTTTTGTCGAATCGCCGTGGAGGTATTTCCCGTATTTTTGAACGAGGATTGCGGGATTCTCACAGGTCAACCAAATTTGGTTTGATGCTGGCAAGCGCATGTGGTTAGTAAATAGCATATAGCAAGCAAAATAGTAAAACACTCACGACGTGGAAACTGGGGCGTAAGAAGATAGTGGAACAGGTAGAAATCAGATACAAATCACCCGTCTTCTTCAATAGGCCCGCTTGCATCATTGATATCTGTCGTGCCTAGTAGAGCTACAATCCGATGACGAGGGGGTACATCGGGTGGACAGTGTGTCAAAAAGTCGCACCCTATGTTGTGGAAGTCATGGAAGGTATCCGGCTATATGGTGGCCATGGTGGAGAACGTTGTGACGTGCCAGGTCTATTCACTCCTTCTTCATTGGAAGTGTAAAAGTGGGAGAGAGCCTGCTTATATAGCTGCTGTAAATGGCAACCAAGCAAACAAGACAAACATCAAACATCACGATGATTCGTATATTGTAGGCATGTACCTACAATGTCAATCATGGTGTATGTGGTGGAGAAAATCTTTTTGTGGAGAAAGATCGACCATACATCGACTCTATTTTCTCCCCCGCAATTTCTAGCACTTTGCATTTTCTCACCCTAAATGTGGTCATTCACCGAGCTCCTATGGCACTACGCGGCTAGTTATGTACCCAAGCAGGATACACAGCTGGAGTAAGAGACTATGTACCTAAGCCAGATCTCGAGGACGAGATTTTTCATTGGGGTGACAATCTGTTACAGTTACCCCTCTACAGGTAGTTGAATGGAGCCTCTTTCTCCATCCCATAACTTGTACGGAGTGCCAAGTGCACATATATCTTATATTCCCAACCACTGGATACGTGGACAATAGGATATTGGAAGAGACAGATCGTACGGAGTATACTAGAACCTACTTTCCGTTACACAAAAGGCAAACAAGCAAGATGTACCTATCCCTTACTTTTGTCTTTGGGCTTTTTACATCTTGAGGATCTTGGGACAAATGCAGAAATGACCTTAACGGAGGAGGTATCGAATAAGGAAAAACAAAAAAACAAAACGCCAAAACTAGGCCCGAAATACATGAGGCATCAAAACAAAGTAAGCCGTTATACAGGACAAGTCTTTATATGGGGAATTCGACAAGGCAAAATTAAACAGGCGACTCAACTGTCTGCAGCGGAACATAACCCTCATCACCCCGGTCAGCCGGCATGGGTCCTTTGCCAGTAACGAGAGACCAAAGCGAAGAGAAAACGTTCCCAACACGACGACGCAGAGAGCGCGGGCTATTCGAGAAAATAGTAGTAGAAGGCCACCAGCTCCCCTTACGAAGCGCCACACCAGCTGCAGAGATTGCACCGGACTGGACCTCCTTCTCAAGACGCTCAACCTCCATCCAAGATGGGCGAGTCCAGAACTTCAACAGCAGACTGCTAACAACGACAGACACACTGGAAAGAGCCATGGCACCACCGGCTGCCATGGGGGGTAGCATGAAGCCCGTGAAGGGTAGGAAAAGGCCCATGGCAAATGGAAGGCCGATGACATTGTACATGCAAGCCCAGATTAAGTTCAACTTGATGCGTCTGAAGACCGACCGCGAGAGGGAGAGACTGGCTGGTACAGAGAGTAGATCGTCCGGACGCATGAGGACAATATCGGCAGCCTCGACGGCCACGTCTGTGCCGGATGCGAGGGCGATTCCGACGGATGCCGTGGCCAATGCGGGGGAGTCGTTAATGCCGTCGCCCACCATGGCAACGCGTTCGCCTTTTTCTTGGAGGGCGGAGACGATTGAGCGTTTCTCGGATGGGGAGACGGAGGCATGGATTGTGGCGGTTGGGATGCCGACTGCTGTGGCGATTGAGATCGCTGTTGAGAGCGTGTCGCCTGTTACCATGGAGGTTGTGATGCCCATGCGATGTAGGGCCGCTACTGCCGCCACGGCTGTCTCTTTCACTGTATCCCGGAGGGAGATGGTTCCGGCATAGCGGTTGTCAATTGCAACGTGGATGCGTGTAGTGCCGGCCCCGGTGACACCCGGCTTGGGGATGTCAGCTTCCGGGTCTTCGACAGGTTCCGCAGAGTCAGGATCTGCGTCAGTGGGTACAGGGACATCTTGGGACCGGAGGAATCTGGCGTTGCCAAGAAGGACATGGTGCCGGATACGCTGGCCACTAGATGTAGGTTCGACGACGGCAGAGACACCCTTGCCAACATAGTTGTCAACGTCACCCGTGCTCCCTGGCAACCCATCTTCGCCGGCGTGACCTGATTCGGTTATGGCTGCAGAAACGATCGCTCGGCCGATCGGGTGTTCACTTCCTGTCTCTGCGAGACCGACAATAAGCCACCAGAGCTGACGGCGCCAGTCATTCATTGCCCATTGAGGTTCAATTCGGGTGTGAGCCACGCTCATCCGACCTGTAGTCAGGGTGCCCGTCTTATCAAAGACAACATGAGTAACTTTTGTGGCAGCTTCTAGCACGGCACCTCCCTTGACGAGTATACCATGTTCCGCGCCGACGCCGGTACCAACCATGACTGCGGTCGGGGTGCTCAGACCTAAAGCACAGGGGCACGCAAAGACAATGACCGAAATGCACAGCTTCAAGCAGACCATGACTCGGCCACCACTGCCTGCCATTTCAAATATTGTAGGGGGATGAGCTAATACATGACTGAGGAACATCCAACCAAAGAATGTTATCAAACCAAGACCGATGATGGTGGGAACAAAGTAACCAGCAACGATATCAGCCATGCGCTGAATCGGAGCACGGCTCGTCTGCGCATCCTGTACCAACTTTACAATCTGGCTCAATTGGGTATCCTTGCCGGCTCGAATGACTTTGAAATCAATGGAGTTGGTGCCGTTCACGGTTCCAGCAATAACCTGACTGCCTTTCTTCTTGTGGATAGGGAGTGCCTCTCCACTGATCATACTTTCGTCAACATAGCTTTCGCCCCGGATGATCACGCCGTCCGCAGACACCTTATCTCCTGGATGGAGGATAACGATATCACCGACTTGAATCAGCTCGGTGGGAATGCACTTTTGATTCACCGTCATATCGTCACCCAACGTGGGTTGCTCAGGCGCGCCATGTACAGGTTTGGAGGTCCAGCGCTCAGCCAGTTTCTCTGCCGCAATGGGATCTTCGTAGATAGTAGTCATAGATGGGGTCAGACACATGAGCCTGGAAAGAGCAGCGGAAGTTTGGCCCTTGGCTCGGTTCTCTAGCCATCGTCCCAAAGTAATGAAGGTGATAAGCATCGTACTGGTGTCGAACACGGTGCTAGGACGACCGTGGTCCGCGCTGCAAAGAGACATGATCATGGTGAAACAGCTGTAAAAGAAGGCAGCGGACGTGCCCAGCATTACGAGAACGTCCATGGTTGGGGACCGATGCTTGAGGGACTTGAAGCTGGTGACATAAAATCGTCTGCCAATGCCGAATTGCACCGGAATGGTAAGAGCAAGACAGACTAGATCTCCGAGGTATAGGCCTGGGACGAGTGCAAACCGGCCAAAGTCGATTCCGGGCAAATACATCGGAAGAATCATGCTGATAAGGAACACGGGAACCGCAAAAGAGGCGGCGATGATGAAGGATCTTCTCCATTCTTGGATTTCCTTTGTTTTGGACAATGACTGTAGCTGTGCGTTGGTATCATCTGAGTCGACAATCAAGGCGTTGTAACCAGCAGCCTCAATTATTTCCACAATAGACCGGATTCCGATTGTGGATGGGTCGAAGGAAATGGCCATACGAGAGGTAGCCATTTTTATTGATGCTGAATGAACACCGGATTGCTGTAAAATATTGTCCTCCAAGGCAGTGGCAGAAACGCCGTCCCGCAGCCCATGCAAGCTCAAATTTATCTGCTGTGTCTTTTTGGAAATTGATGCCTGCGCCTCTGATGAAACGATTGACGCATCAAATCCAGCATCTTCAACAAGCTCTGGAATTTTGCTGGCAGGGAGTATGGTTGGGTCGTGCACGACAACCGCTCGCTCAGCCAGAAGACTGATGTTGAACTGGATTACCCCATCCACACTGCCCAAGGCACCCTGTACGCTAGATGTGCAAGCGCCGCATGTCATACCGCCGATTGCGATCGTGGTGACTAGAAGTCCAGATTTCTCTTCCGAGCCAGCCGGTGCAGGTGGCTCCTTGGAGCCCACTAGAGCAGTATCCAGCACTCGCGCTCCAAAACCTCGATCTTCAATGAGCTCTGCGATCTGCTCCGGGGTGATGATGCCTGCATCATGTTCCACGACTGCGCGCTCGGAAAGTAGTGATACGTCTACGGAGTTCACACCGCTGACATCGTTCAACCCGCTTTCCACAGCAGACGTACATGCGCCGCATGTCATCCCCTCAATCGCCAGGGTGGTCATCGAGAGTCGCGTAGCTGGAGAAGAAGAAGCAGAGTCGGGGTTCCTTTGTTCCTCGGTCGAAAGTACTGTCGCATCGAACCCGCGGTCCTCAATCATCTCTGCGACCTTCGCAGGTGGTAACACTGACGGATCATGTTGTACAGTGGCCCTGCCCATGATGAGACTGACAGACACATCGTGCGCACCGTCTACCCCTTGAAACGCGCCCTCTACGGCTGATGTGCAAGCTCCGCAAGTCATTCCGTCGATCTTGAGAGCTGTAGTGGCCAGTGCGGGTCGACCGGCCCCGCCGGCGTGCGGATTTGTAGATAACATCTCGACGGTGAAGCGCGAGGCGAACACGGCGAGAAACGACGACTATAGCATATGGAGGGTGTCTACCAAATTACCTCCGACGCGATGGCAGAGGGTGATAACGTGCTGAGGGACGGAAGGTCTCGGATGGCGCAAGACTAACAGATCATTCCCTTGTTGAGCAGACAAAGAGAACTGCAGAAGTTAAAAAGAAATAGTCTGCCTAGAAGGCCACGTCGATCGGATTTTATCGAAAATCAGCCAGAGGCGCAAGGGGAGAGAGGAAAAGAAGTGGATTTGCTCGGGAATAGGACCTCGGTGATGTGGACCGACTCTGCCACGCTATGGAATGTCCGCGTGGGCAGCTGATTACATATAGATGGTCGGGTTTTCAATTAGATTAAAAGTGATTCCCCGAGGGAATTAATATGAATTTTCGTGGGTTATTGGAAGGCTGAAACAGACTAAGCAATACGAAAATAAGTGGTTGTTTCAAAATGTCTACAGAGATGAACCTGGTTACACTGCGTCGGCTTATTGTCGCTTTGCTATACTTGCAGAATGCCCTGCACTGAGATTACCACGCTAGGATTCAATTATATAATAGATACGAGATAGAATAAGCAATAACAGAATAGAATAAGGAACTAATGAATATATAGAAAATAAAAACAAAAAGCAACAGCCCTCCAAGGCTCTATACTCCGTAGAGTTGTAGAGGAATCAGATAAGACGTGTTTGCACTCAATGCAAACAAGCATCTCCGACTACATTTGATGCTTCCCATCTTGAACTCAGCTACTACGTATATCCCACTCATATTGCAGTCCTCTCTCTTGGTTACTCTCCAATATCCTCAAATATCCTCATTGAACCTACACCTCGATTAACCGTATCACAATGGATCAAACCCACACACGAGCCCTAGAGGCTCTCCAACCATTCATCCACCTAGCCCGCTCCAACAGCGCAGGTTCGCCTCGCTTTATTGCGAATCTCATCACAAATGCCACCTCAAATGCGCAAACCTATGTCTTCGCGGAGCTCCTCGAGCTGCCAACGATCCAAGCATTACGGTCACCAGACACTCCAGCCGAGTTTAAGGGCTATCTAAAGCTACTAGAGATCTTCGCATGGGGCACATGGCAAGAATATCAAAGTAAGATTGCACGCATCCAAAGCCCAGAAACCAAACATCCCAAATCATCCAAATGAAACCTCCTCAGAGAACCAAACCCCTCAAATCTACCAGAACAAAAGCTAACCACCAATACCCCGCATCAGCAACCCCAAACCTCCCCGAGTTGAACACAGAACAAACCCTCAAACTCCGCCTTCTCTCACTCCTTACCCTCTCAACAACAATCAAACCCCTCACCTACAGCGCCCTGATGACCGCCCTCAGCAGCCCCACAAAATCCGAGCTCGAATCCCTCGTAACAAGAGCCATCTACGCCTCTTTGATAGCAGGCCGCCTCTCACCAGCCTCCAACCCACCATCCGTGAATGTGACAGCCGTTGCCCCACTCCGCGATGTCCTACCCCAGTCCCTCCCTAAGATGATCGCCAACTTGAGCGAGTGGGAATCGCGCTGCGGCGAGGTTGTATCTGATCTGGAGGCGGAGATTGCGCGCGTCAAGAGTGACGCCGCGAAGCGTGCTGCACGTGCCCAGGCGCACGATGAGGCGTTAGAGAAGGCCAAGAAGAGGAAGCAAAGTATGGCGAAGAGGGGTGGTCGGCGCGGCGGTCGGCTTGGCGCTGGCCTCGGGGGGAGTAAGAGGGATGCGGACGATATTGATGAGGATGATGGGTACTTTGACAATTATGATGGTGGTGAGCATGGCTCGCGCATGGATATTGATGAGGCGCCTGGTGCTCGCGCGGGGAATAGTCGGCAGCCAAAGAGGGTGTTGGGGCGCAAGTCTTGAAGTGCGGAGGTACTCCCATTTGCTCATGGTTATGTCGCACAAAAGATGGCAGCGGCTCCAACAGGATTTATGATACGAAATGACTTGATTATGGTTTAGTTTCATCTCTTGGGATAGAACCCGGAAAGGAGCAAATTGCATTCGTAAGGCCCTAATGGCGACGCTCATTAATGAAAAATAGATACAATACAACATTTTCAAGTGTTGAGGGGTATTGGTAGAAGAGAAAATAATCACAGCAAAGCAGCAGAGACAGTAAATATGGACAAAGAGGAAGTAGACGTGACCGCTAATAAGCGGGATAGGACGGATGGAGGAAACAATCACCTCTGTATAGCTCCCAGGAAGAAAATGGGCTGCAGATCCAAGACATAGTCTTTTTCAAGAATATGCACCATAGAAGCAAAACCTCTGTACTCGGACACGACGGGAACGCCTTGGACAGGTCAAGTCGAGTCAATTGTAGACGTAAGAATGATCGAATGATCGAACAACGAGGTTCACGGGGTGATTGTTTTGGAAGTTTGTATTAGATGGACACTGGACGTGGTAAAAAGCTCACATCATGGTACCGGGGACGAAAATGAACAAGATGCTTAAAGCTGCCGCTGTGAAAAAGGCGATCAATGCAGTGACGACGGCGCGCTTGTTCAGCAGCTTTCGGACATAGGGCTCGCGAATTGGGGCCCAGTTCATAAAGGTGTATTCACTGTAGCCCAGGAACGCCATGATGGGGTCGATCTTGTACTGATAGGAGATGATGAAGTATGCGGCGACAGCAAATGGAAGAATGACCTGAAATAAAGTTAGCAGACAGATTCATTGGTGCTTAGAGATGATCATCAACATACCCAGCAACGAATATGCCGAGGCTTATTCCGCAGAACAACGTAGAAGGCACCCCAGAATCCTCCACCGAAGCTAATCAGAGCAAAGGCGAGGCGCAAGATGGTACTCAAAGGAACCATATTCCCAAGTGCCTTTGCTTGCAAGAATCCCGGGAATGCATCCCGCTCCATGGCCTGGAACACATAGTCCTTGGCAGGGTCAAACACTTCGGGGTCATCTCGGCCGTCATCCTCAACCAGGTTGATAATCGTGGAAACCATGGATTCTGGCAGCATAATCTCTCGCTCGGAACCGGGAAGCAGATATGTGTACAAGATTTTCTCAGCGCTGGCGCGAATGTCATTGCGGGCCACTGTGTGCCCGGGGAGGAGGGTGGTCAAGCCGGGAATCCGGGGTGTCACGGCCACCGTCATAGGAAGAGGCTTGGTGCGCTGATTCGCCGGAAGATCTTGGACTGTTTCGGGAGGGTGATGTGGTGTGGCCTTCGGAGCGAAGGAATGCAGACAGGCGTTGGTCGGCATCTCTGCCCTTTTCGTTTTCTTGGAATCCGTGTCTTAGACGAGAAGGCCCAGCTTCTGTCAGCGGAATATCACCTAGGTTCTCCAGATTGTCTAGCATGGCAGAAGGTTCTCTTTCCAGATCGGGTGTCGCGACGAGGACGGAACGGCGAAGTTCACGGACATAGTGTCGGCACAGTAGCATGTGTTGTGATACATCAAGCCTATGAATCGCGTTAACTTTAGATACAGGCATCGAACGCGAGCTTACACTCACCAAAAGTCTAGATAGTCTACGGAACGCTGCTGATCGCGCATGTAAATGTAGAACGAAAAGAGGTCGACCGGGGCGAGAGTTCGGCGGCTGAGAACTTCAAAGAGAGTCGGTAGACGATTACGCGACTCCGCGTCGACAACATCATGATGAGACATATCGATAATGTGTTTAGAGTAGGCAACGGTGAAAGGACCAGCACCGAAATTTCAAAGCAAAGGCGGGGGAGCAAAAGGGGGAGAGATTAAGGTCGCGTCGGCAGGCGGGCCAGCAATCTCTGCACACCCTAAAAGATACGGGGTAAGACGGAGGCGATTCAAAGCGAATGGTGAAAATCGAGAGCGAAATGAGAGGGGTTGAAACGAATTGAGCTCCACGTTAGTGCGTAAACAATGAATGGTGTGTGGATATCGAGCCCCTGAGGTTGTAACACAACTAGGTCGGCCCAGCAATAGCAACAGCAAAAAAAAGAAAGCAACGAAAAATTGAAAAACACAAGTCCTATCGGAACAAAAGACGTAAGGGTGAAGTCTGTGAGGCTATTCCAGCCATCAGCATTGTTGAGACCCCGCAACAACGATAATCCGAAATTAAGCCCTGTCAGGGGGAAATTAACGTTGAGGTTTTAGGTTATTGCATCACATATCATCATGCATATAAGCGCTTTTATATTGCCTTCTACCTATGTGTATTCTTCTATATTCTGCTGTTATGATCCAAGCTACTCTAAGCGCTACTATAGACATCAACTCGAGCTTGACAGATACCAGCCCCACCATACCAAGCATAGCATCTATAGATCTGATTGGTGGGAAAATGGATCAACATATCCATCCATGGGTTGAGCTAGACGTCGATCTAGACTATTTGATCAACATTGAGAAGAAATTCATAAACTGGCATTAGTTCATGAATGAGAATCGCATGTTGTAATCTATCAACAGGGTATTGCCTATCAAATTTCAATTCCCCCAACGCCTTTCCGGAAAAACACCCTCGCTGCAATGAATGTATGTCCCAGGATCAATGATTATCGGCAAGGTGCTAGATATCAGAGTTAGAATTGTCTTTGAGAAACAGCTTCATTGTGGATACTTACCGACCACTCCGGAATATTCCGGATCTGCTGCCACATGAACTTCTCAAGCTTATTCGCGCTCTTAGCATATGGTGTGGTCTCATTGTTGTAGCGTCGGCAGTTGTCGAAGATCAACATGGCGTCCTTGATGAAGTCCTGTGGAGTCGGGTACAAGTCCTTCTCATGCTTCTCTTCCATGCTCGACAGATCCATGGGCTCCATGATTACCTCGTAGTAGTCTGGAACCTCATCGCGGTTCACGGGTTGAGTAAACGGCCAAGCCGCGCTGTGATTCTGCATATCGTTCAACAAGTGGAGCAATTGGTTATAGTTGGGCCCATGGCGTGGTTGGCGAGCCATTTCATCCATGTCTGGCGACCAGCCGGACTCTTTGATTGCGGGAATGCTAAGAGGATCGATCGCGTACACTCCGTTCTTCCATTCCTTCGGAGGGGGATGGATGATATGCGAGCGACTGAAGGCGCGAATCTTGGCTTGCACAGACTCTTTCTGTTTGGTGAGCATGCGTCCCATCTCCAGATATCGAATTCTGGGGAGCATAGTACACTGCATGAGCGTGCCACCCTCGTAATCTTTAATGTAGCCCATCCAGATTGCTTTATCGAGTGTGATCTCCTTGGTAAAGCCCTGTTTCTTGAAGTATCCAATGGCATAGTTATCGGCGTATGTGAGGAAGTGCATAATGGGAGAGGTAGCTTTCACGTAGTCCTATATGGCAATAAGTCAGATATATGCATAGAAATTGCAGATCCATAAGCGTGTATACCTTGAGATGGGACATCAAGTGTGCACCGTATCCCTTAACTTGTTGGTCCGAAGATATAGCGCAGAAGACAATCTCAGCAAACTTTCGAGAATTGAACGGACGATATGTGATTCCTCTGTAGCTTGTCAGTGTCCTAATCCAACCAATATAGGGCAGCAGGCACTTATGACATACCCAACAACTTCCAGTGGATGTTTTACGATAGCCATTGACAGATGGGACCGATCGTAGACAAGGCGTGCGATGTAGTCCTTGGGCATCTTCGGAAGTTGTTTCTGGAAAATACACTTCAAGCCTGTGAGGACAATAAAGCTATCGTGGGAACCATCGTTGTTGACGACACGGAACTCAATGTCGCCTCGGCGTTCTTCGAGAACAGCGGGCTGTGATCATCAGCCATTGTCCACGAAGAGACATGGGATATGGTGGCGTGGGATGGGAGGGTACCTTCTCAGGGAATGGAACAATTCGGAGCGGAGGCTTTTGAAGGAGGCCATCTTCCTGTGCGGGGCCCTTGTCAGAACAGGTACGCGAAGCGATTTACATATTAGCCCTGGAGAGCCTCTTACCTCTTTCACTGGGGAATCTGTGCGCGCCTTCTTGCTAGTCTGCTGCCCAGATTCCGGGGAAGCTGCCTCCTCAGAGGCTTTGCGCTTGAAGCCTGATACCATGGTCGTATGTCAGAAATAGTTTGACAAAATACAATGTGAAAGTATGAAAGTTCACTTACTCTTTGGCGATTCAGCAATCATAATGTCCTTGTCCTTCAAACCTGCCCAGGTGACCATGCGCCGACAATGGCATGGGGTATCGGTCGGAACAACTAACCGCCGGTCGGGCCAGATTAACATTAGTCGATCTATATCACTTTCGCTTGACCTGCATCAATTCGTCCCTCAATTACATTTATCAATTCTATTATCCTAATGTCTCTGAACGAAGTCTGGGAGGCAGCCTCTGCAACTCCATTCATCCCTCTTATTGCCAAGGATAGCCAGTTCTCTGTCGGCTTCAACTTGCTGCTCCTCGGTAAGCTTCTGGTTTATCGCAGCTTTGGAAATAGCCAATCTCTGACTAATACTGATAGCATTGGTTACGGCCACTCTATTTGGCTTGAGTAAGTTACTTTCCAAATTATATCGAATTTGACTCTGACATTTCACCAAACAGATCGGTCTTTCCTCGGCATCGTATCCTTGGGCATCCCGGCCGCATTGGCATCTGGGTTAGTAATGCGCTGCGTCCCATTTTAAGGCATACGATATACTGATTGGGTATTCTGGATAGTTTTGGAGCTGTGTTCATGATTTGCGCCGCCGGAGTCTACGTCTAACCGGCCACCTTTCCTATTGCGCGTCCCCTCAAATGTACCATAAGCGTTGGGTTCAAGAGGGCCTGTACTGCTAAATATCCAAAGTCATCACGCATCTTCGGATCAATTACCTTTGTTCTGTGCCAGTATTGCGCCTGAAAATCGAGCTACAGCCTACGCCACAAAATGGAGCCCCTTTTCGCTGGCGTCTCCAACAACGCCCACCATCTCTACACGCTGCTCTCCTGCATTGGTTTCGCACACAAGGCCACTGTTCAAATCACTCCAGATGGCCTCCGATTCTCAGTGGAGGAAGGCCGCGTCATTCAAGGACTAGCGTTTCTCGACAAGTCACTCTTCACCAGCTACACATTCAATCCATCGACCGACTCTGAACCTAACAACCAGAACGGAACACCCCAAGAAGACAATGAATTGCAAAATGAGGCTTACCCTCATTTTGTTGTTTCTCTCACCGCTATCCTCGAAACCCTAAAGATCTTCGGTATCAACGAGCTCTCCGAGTCCAATCGACCCCGCGACACTAGCATCACGCAAACCGGCACCGCCTCGTCAAGCGCATTCAACGCCCCAGCCTTGCTCATGGACCGCTCCTGCACCCTAAAATACGCCCAACACGGCGCCCGACTTAGCATCACCATCACTGAAGCTGGCGTGAAAACAACCTGCGAGCTAGTAACATATGAGCCCGACGAAGACGAAGCAGACATTCCCCTCCAGCGCGACGCTATCATCATGAAAATCATTATGCGCTCCGCCTGGCTACACAATGCCATTGCCGAACTCGACTCCTCCACCCCCACGATCCTAAAACTGTCTGCCTGTGCCAAGCGAGAACCGTACTTTGCTCTCTCCGGTGCAGGCGGCCCGTTCAGTGAATCCACTGTGGAATTCTCAGTTGGCCAGCATAACGAGATTGCCGGTGGCGCTGGTCAGGGCACCACACAATCTCAGATGCGTAAGGTGTTGCTCGATAATAGCTCTGCCCGGACTCGCGCAACTAAAGCTAAGCTTGCACCTACGGTCACGGAGACTTTCCTTGTTTCTCCTCCTTCCTCTATGGGCGAGCGCATTCAACAGAGCTATCGCTTTTCATTGATTCGCAAGGCCGCGAGAGCTATGTCTGTCGCTAATAAGGTTAGTATCCGCGGGGATCGGCAGGGGGTGTTGAGCTTACAGTTCATGGTTGAGCTTGATGATCATAATGTGCCAGTGGGCAGATCGATCGGTGCTGGCGTAAAGGGTCCCAATGGACCTGTGTGCTTTGTGGACTTCCGGTTTGTGCCATTGCTAGATGAAGAGGAAGCTGAGATGGAGATGGGCGCAGAAAGCGAATAGTCGGGTTAGGATAATTAAAATAGAGCGTATACCCGATTTGAAAATGTTTCCAGGTACAGATTCATGGAGTAAAATTGTTTCTTCGAATAAGAACATACAAGCTCTCTGGTATAAAACAAATCGAATTCAAGGTCAAAAAGCCAGGCGCTAAGATATCAGCCTAATGAATAGAGCGGGAAATCAAAACCCCAAATCGAACAAATCATGTACATCATCAGAAGTGCACACACTATCAGTATAACTATCAGTATGAGAAAGAAACCAAGCCACAAACCAGCTATGCCACGAATGCGAATATGTCCAAAAGGCCAAATCCCAAAGTGCATCACAAAACGCCAGAGTTATAGAAAAAAAAAAGGAAAAAAAAGGGCACTCGAACCACTCAAGCATGATCAGGATTGTAACTCGTTTCCCCCAGCATACTATGCCCAGCCGGCGCAGTCGGATTCGGCGTGGCAGGACGCGGCATCGACGAGCTAGGCTCCCCCAAACCAGGCGACTGCACGCGCCCAATAGTGGCAGCCTGCAACCTGCGATCCAAAGCCTTAAGCGCAATAGCCCGTCTGCGCTCCGCTTCCTCGCGCTTACCGGCGCCCCTGGCCCCACGCTGATTATTCAACAGCGTGGGCAAGCCCGCCTCGCCTCTCGCCAGCACCAGCTCGTTACCGGAGGCGATATCGTCCGCCGAGAACGGCGTCAGGAGCTTAGCGGTGACTAGCAGAGCGTAGATCTGGTCTGCGACGAAGGCGACAGGCGGCTGCATTACGTCTGGGAATAGACAGGCGAATGCGAATGTCTCGCTGGCATCGCCTTTGATGCCTGTGCCGTTCGAGGTGCCGGTTAGATCGGGCTGTCGCTTGTAGAAGCGGAGGTAGGTCCAGCTGGTGAGGATTCCGAGCCAGGAGAGGACTGCGGCGGTGTCTGTTCCGATGGCGAGGCCGCTAATGCTGTTTAGGAGGAGGAAGAGGGCGGGGAAATGCTTGACGCGCATTTTGATGATTCCTTTGAAGATTGTTACGGTGTGTTCTGGGACGAGCTGTTTGAAGGCGACTAGGAAGGAGGCCTGGATTGAGACGCCGCCGCATATTTGGGTGAGACTGCTTTTTTTTACATGGTTAGTGTTTGTTTGGTATAGGGTGGTGATCGATGTGCTCGTGTTGGGGGTGCATACGCTCTGCTTGAGGAGCCTCCCACTGCGCCCCAGATCAGGTAGACTGGGATGATGGCAATGCAGGGGATCACGGCGACGACTGCGATGAACTTGCTGAACTCGCGCGAGCCCCACGCGCGTTCGAGGTACTTGCCGCCATAGAATATGGTGGCAGCATTTAACAGGACGGTAAATATATTCTGCTCGACAAAGGTGGCCGTGACGATTGTCCAGGGGTAGTAGAAGAAGAATGAAGGGACGAGCGTCAGGTAGGGGACGAGAGGCGATGTGGTCGGTGTTCCGCCGGTGGTGTCAATTTGCCGCCATCTGGCAATGTTATAGAGTAGGGAAAGAGTGAGAAGGCTGACGAGACAGATTCGAGTAGCAGGGGGAAGGTTGATTCGGAGCGACATATTGAAGCTCGCTTGGAGCTGCAAGACGCCACAGGCCGTAGAGATGGGGAAAGTTGAGGTGGGAGACTTTAGTGGAGAGCGGATGGCGGAAGTCTCCCGATGTTTGTTTGGCGAGACGCTTCTACTTCTACATACATCCACGTCACTTTTGATTAATGTCAACTTATATTCCATGTCATTACCTCATCTTCCTTACTATTTACCACATACTATTCATCTTTTTATTGCTCTCTGCTTTTTTGTTTTCAGTTCTAGACTAAATTGAAGGAATGACAAGCCTCAAGGGCTAATAGCTGGGTACAGGCATGAGCCGGACGGCCATAGAAGCCTGAAAGAGTGGTGAGATAGAGAGAGAGGTGCTAAGCGTTCTTGAATCTTAAGAAAGCTCAGAATGCTCTAATGGATTTAACATGATTAAACCTAATTCCCGGAAGAAATATGCAGACTACAGTGCTGTGTTGAAGTTTACGAGTGTAAAGTAGTATGTATGAACAGAACATATGTGCTTTCAGATGAATATTCTATATATACAGAGTTCTCACTATCTATATGGTAGGACAGCCGGACGGAAGGCATTAGAGATTCCGTGGCCAGTGTTTGCGATCGTAGATATATTTCGCTAAGTCATGAACATCTCGATGCCAACTATATATGGAAGGGTTATGTCAAGGCTCGTTCTGCTCATGAAATTAGCGGCTGATTGCATGCTTTTTTTTAGCTAACTTACAGATCGTTGCTCTCATCGTGTATTGGCACTAGAAGGGCCGACAGCAGCCCCAGCAGCCCTGCGTAGACAAACCGAGTCAAAATTGTACAGGGTGCAAAAGATCGGTTAGTTAGAAGACAAACCTCGAATCCTGAGGCCTTCTGAGAAAATAGTTAGTATATCGTTGAGTCAGTTGATAATAAGAGGTCCTACCTGACCATACGGACAACTCCGTGGCTGCTTTTCGCACATAGCAGCGCAGGCCGTAGCTTGAGCTTGACCAATGAGTGCCAGACAAAAGATTGCAAGGACCAGAGTCGGCAAACGGAGTATTCCTATAGTCATCGAGAGGGAGGCTTATGGAAGGAAGATAAAATAAGGACACAGTATTCTGGCCAAAGTGCGGAACTTATCCTTCTTATAGCGGAGGCCTATAATAAGACTCGCCCCCAATCCACACGGAGTTCTTTTGCCAGTCTTTGCCTTCAATAAAGAGGATAGAATAAGAAGATCAAAGGAAATGTGGTTTTTTCTTCCTTTTTCCTTTAGACCTGATCTAATACCATTTGTTTTCTTTATACGATAGATGGCAAAGTGTAATAGTCGAGAATATTGTCCTGCCCAGCTTGCCATTCCCATTTCGTTGGCAAAATTAGGCAACTTAATGCCCTTTAGGGATTAGTGTAGTGGGCTGACCCAGTAGCCCAACTTACCTTTAATCAAACGTTACTCTGATCACTTTGGTGCCTAGCTATCTGGGTTCCGATTCGAATAAGCCACGGTAGATGTGGAGTGTGAGAACCGGTAAACCCCCAGTAAAGCGACCTTGTAAGAAAGCTAGACCTAGATTTTTCAGAGACAGGGTCCAAATTTTGAAAGTGAGCTCTCGCAAACCAAATACGGTATCTGCGAATCAGGTCCCTTCCTTTGAGGTGCTATCCATATTCCTCGCCCCGCTAAGTGAAACCCATGTCTTGATCCTTCGACTCTGGATTTGGTACGGATGTCAGTACATACATAGTGTTCAAAAAGTCTGTTCCCACTGCCCCACTTGCTATCTCCCCAACAACCATCGTGTTTTTTTTTCTTCTTCCTACACACCCCCCAATGGTATTAACCAAGGATATTCTTGGTTTAGGTCGTACAAAATCAGGTGAGCTATCCCTAGCACAACGCTTAGCTATTATTTATAGCTATCAGGCCGGTATTACCTAGTCAAAGCTAGCACTCGATTTTAGGTGCTCCCGCCGAACGATTTATAATACTTTGAAACGGTTCAAAGAACATAATACTATTAAATCTCTCCCTCGAACCGGTCGCCTGAGGATCTTTAGTGATCGAACTCGCTATTTACTTTTTATACTCACCCGCCGGCACCCCTTTTAGTCCTATAAAACGCTGAGTTGTGCTATACCTGGTCATCTATCCCGCTCTACTATTATTAACATTTTAAGGCCAACCGGTCTTCTAAAATATAGGACAAAAAGGAAGATTCCAATTGGAAAGGAATTAGCTCGACGACGATATCGTTTTATTCAAAAATGGCGCTCTGAGTAGTCTAGAAATAACGTTTAAAACTAGGTCTTCTCGGATGAGTGTTCTATATAATAAACAATAAACTGCAGACCACAATGGTATTGGCGCTTTCGGTCAGAAGGCTATAGAAAAGATCTTATGAATGCTAAGGCATACGTTAAAGATATTTCACAAATGGTTTAGGGTATAATCTGGTTAGGTGGTCGATCAGAGTTGATTATTATAAGGCAGGAGAATATTATTAACCTAGAATCGAAGAAGATAGGATATACTACTATTTCCTATATAGATACTCTCGAAGAAGGTCTACTTCCATTCTATCGACCCTACTCTATCTTTCAGTAAGATAACGCTCGGATCCATACTGCTAAAATCACACAGGAATGGTTTGAAACTCACAGGATATATATAGAGGAGTGGCCGCCGCACTCACCGGATTTAAACCCAATTAAACCTATATAGCGGTAGCTAAAGGTTAAACTTTTTGAGTTATTTCCTAAGCTGATATATATAGGAAGGTCTGAGGAGGATTAGATAGTATTCAAAAGGTATATAAAGATAGTATGGGATGCTATTCCGCAGTCGAAGATTGATTCATTGATTTTGAGTATGGGGCGCAGATATATGGCAGTACGGAAGGCAAAGGGGTATTATACAAAATATTAAATTTAAATTTTACCCGAGATTGGCATAGGGTTTAACCCTGTTTTATTCGAAGTAAATTGAGTAAAGTATGGTGGTGCTATGCATAGATATGTAGATATATATATTTCAATGTTCATGGGTGAAAATGCGGGTGGGAACAGACTTATTAAACCCCACTGTATTTGGTTTAGTAGTCAGACCAACTCAGTGATCGGGGTGAATGATTTTGTACTAAAACAAGGGTTCGAGTTTAAGCAAAATTGGTCATAACCACTCTATGCACATGGAGGCTCGAGCGGCCCTATTTCAGCATACTGTGGAAGCTTCCCTTTCAACAGGTCCAAGATGCAGCCACTATTACTTTCATGAACAGCTGTTCATGTGCATGATGTGGAAATTGATAGAATCTCGGAAGATACTAAAGCTCAACGTAGAAGGCCTGTTTAGATCCTTGCACATCTCAGCCAATTGGAGTGCGTCCGAATAAATCAAAAGTACAATATACAGAAATATAGATTCAAGCTCGCCCCTGAGCCTCGTAATTAGGAACCAGGAGAAGCACCGTAGTGTACGGTTGAGTGAGTCTCTCGAAGCGTAGGATATAAGAACATACATAGCTCTCATAGAAGGGGTGTGTGATCTATGACAATATTTAGATAGCTGGCTTAGCTTTCCAAATTCGTTCTGCTTCTATATCAGCTTCATGCCACAAAAGCGCAGTAGATGTGAAACAGGAACCAGGGTGCGGTTTCTGTTTGAATGCAACTTATCGGGGACTCCGAGTTAATTAGCGCTCGAAGTTCTCGGTCCTTAGTCTCCACAGTACGGGTACTTACTGAGGAAATCGTAGAATTCGTCAAAGGTGGCTGGGATTTGGAACTCCTCTCGGAGAATGGGTCGTAAGTCCCACTCATCTCCCGGCTCCTCATTCTCCGATGAAAGAGGCTGGATCTCAAAGATACTCTCGACCTCCTCCAGGTTCCAATCACCCAGAGCCTTCGAGGGAAGTTTCTGTTCCGCTTGGAGTTTCAGGTCGTCAAATTTGGCCTTCAGTTGCTCCATATCGGATTTGCCCACGCTGCTCACGTTTGCCAGCCACCCCAGGATCTTGGAAACATCCTTGAGGATATCCTTGTGTTTATCGGCAAACTCCATCGGAGTCAATGTGGTGTATTCAGTGCCCTCGGTAACTCCAGTCGACGCCGATTGTCCGGAGAGCGCAAAGTAAACTACTTCCGTCGTCTGATTTGTTCTTCCGCATCCAAGCCATCAGTAGAGATACATCTCGAGGAAGGTCAAATTGGCTCTTTATGAAACACAAGTCGACACAGATCCTCGAAATCCTCGAAACACAAACGATAGACATGATCTCAGAGAACAGAATAAACCCCCTTCTTCTCTTTCTCTCTTGATTTACAATACACCAAAACGGGTATCCCTTGCGACACGTCGGAAGAATATTATTGTCTCCCCTTCCCTTTGGGAGTGTCGAACGAATCAAGCGTGGGAAGCGGAGTACAGCGCGACACAAACAACTATTCCTGGGAGGCAGCTTACGTATTTCGGAGACTTGATGGAGGCTCAGAAGGCAAACAGTGACCCGGGCATGATTCAGAAGATGGATTCCTGGAATGCAGAGGCCGATATAATGGGGTTTATGTTCACGCTAGCTACAGCAATGGTTTAGATGATTGAACGAATATCCTGACTAACTGGGTCTTGGATGGTTGGGGTTTCCTCTTGTTTGTTCCAGTCGAGTTGATCGATAGAAAAACGATCATTCCTTTTGAATTGATCCATATGTACTTCGGATATGGAACTCGAGAGGGATGATTTCGGAGAAGATTAAAAGGAATCAAACCTTGCGGAGGCCAGAAATCACTTGGTGCTTCGGTTAGAGGCTTGGGGAATATGCGTAATGTTTCCTAGCAACATCTATGGATGCTGTATTTCAAGCCGTATTGCTGGTGCTATAAGCAACATGAAGGTCCATGGGTCCCTCACTCCCAGTATCTTTTGACCCTGCAGACTCGAGGTGATGAGTCCCTGAGTCTTCTAACCGCCCATCTCAACGCTTCCGAGCTTATGCTCAGACGATTTTCAAATTCTCCATTCATCTCCCAGAGAATTCGCAGTTGGGTTTGTTCGTGGTTCCGTGGGGCTCGTCGACGAGTGCTGGAATGAACGGGGCTCGCAGGCAGCTTAGGATTGGGAATACATTGAATATTTGAAAGCCAGTTACATTTTCAATAGAATAGCTCATACAATGAATGCTAGCTGTGATATTGCTGCTTCCTTAGCGACGACGTTAAGACTGTAACATCCGGCACATGATTTACATCCTGACAATAATTGCATGCGTTCTGTTTGAAACAACCAAATCTGGCCTTCAACATGTCAGCCCCAAAAGTAGACTCGTCAAGATTTTCCATAACCCTTGCTAGAAGTAGTCCGAGGCAGCACCCGACAAGTAAAAATTACAGACACTAGTATTGTACCACCCTGGTGACCAGGGATGGGCTGTCTTCCTGCTTCGTCTCAACAGCGGTAACAGCGGTAGGATCTTGTGCCTTATCGCGAGAGCAAAAGCTGCAGGAACCAGTGCAGAGCCGCCGGTGTATCTTCCTTAGTATACTTGGGCTTGTCAATAGGACACGAGAATGTGTTATTGTAACCGGACAGCTTGGTGAGTAGTGCGACGGCTCATCAAACTTTTCGAGGAATTCAGAGTCGATGTTGGCGGTGTAAACGTAAAGGAAATTGGTGGCCGCTATTCCAGAAAGGGCTAGGACCTGGACCTTCTTAGGTTTAATAAATAGCGCACCTATCTAAGATTGTGCAGAACATACCTTGAAAGAATTCGCTGTTTTCCGAGCCATTTGCTCTGTATTTAGTGAGCACGAGCCAGCCGTTCTCGAATTTGCACTCGAGGTGATATCTGCATCCACATGACTTGTCTGATTCTCTGTTTTGATTTCGGCATCTGCTCCTTGTGACTCCTGCTGCTGCGCACGCCGTTGCCCCTGGGCTAGAGCGATCAGTATCGCCACGATGTATGGGTCTTCGACGGGATTTTGGGGTTCAAGAAGTTTCAGCTTTTTCTCCCAGACACGGAAACCGGGGTCGTTGCTTCTATTTCTTTTGCAAGGTGGCTTGTAGGACACGTGCTTCTCGCGAAGTAACTGTATTTTACCGAACGTGATATAGGCAAGGTTTGGAGCCACGGAGTTGTTCAAGAAGACACCTTCCGTTCTGAGTCTCGCAGCAGCCCGACGATTAAAGTAAAACTGCAGGTTATCAGAGCTAGAAGCTTGTTAGCAGCACCATCAACGCCGTGGAAAACGGGATATGTTACTTTGAAGGATTAATACCATAAGCATCAAGTATACTTTCAACAGCTGCCTGCTTGGTCTCCAGGGTGAATCTCTTTGCCAGATTATTTGCACCGCGCATGGCCCAATCGTATCGTCCTTCCACTGGCTTTATCTGCACAGCGCCATCTGCCGCCCTACCCCTATGGAAACCAGGATCTTGCGATGCTGGTTGTGTTTGTGGTTTTTGCGGCCTCCTCTCCTTCTGGGGGCGGAACTGGCACATCAAAAGTCGTAGTTGGTTTGAGGTCCATGCTATCGGCCGTACATACAAGCGTATCCCACAATTATCACGAAGGATTGCCTGAATCGAGTCTGGTTCGGGTAGGCTCCTGACTGTCATTGGTGTGTACGTGGTAAAAGACTCGCATTGGGAGGGACGAGGTCGCTGCGCTGGAGGACTTGCAATATCGTTTCCAGCCTTTCGCTTGGATCCAATTATTGAAGAAGGCAAATCTGACATTTCATCAAGATAATCCCCTAGAAATATGCGAATTCGGTGCAGTGGTAGTGGCTGCTGTTGGGTCAATGTTTTTTTGACGCGCGACGCGTAACTAGGTAATTATCTCACCCTGCGGACCGTCAGCCACAAGCCACAGCTCCAGGCTCCAGCCTCATCCTTGTATAGTACTACAGGGGTCCAACAAACATCCATTATTTACCCCTCAGTAACCCCCTCACTTTTACTTAGCAGTAGCGTGAAGGCTCGAATGACCATCAAAATTGAGAAACTAAATGTATATTCCACATCTCGAACGTTCTTTGAGAAATGAGCTGACGCGATATCTATCAGCATGACTATCCCGATTTATACAGCTCGAAGCCGAGCCGAATTCGGACGACGGTCTCAGGAGCATGGCGGCATACGGCTTATTTTTCATCTAAGGAAAGGGGAAGTGATGCGTTCTGCTAGCAGATGGTCATTCCGACATTTGCTTGGTTTTCGACTGCTCACTCTCCCAGAAAAGCCCTTTCTGGAGGGTTTTAAAACTGATCACAAGAATCACTGCCCACTGTGTAATACTGAAGGGCAGAGTTCGCAGAGTGTTGACCATTATTGGACGAAAATTCTCATATCAGATTGTCCAATCGACTTTCTGAAAAGCACGGACTCTGAGCTTCTACGCCTACCAGGTGGTTTTTTTTGGGTCCAACTCGCACGAGTAACCCGCTCTCAAGTCGTCACCGAGCCGCGGTCATATCCTCAGCGCGAACGACGACCTCCAAAAGCAGACGGTTTCGTGAATTCAACATCTGCTATTCCAGGGTCCTCCTCTTCCGTGAAGCTCACTTCATCCGAATTTGAGGTTGACCTTGACGACCTTGACGAGGATGAGCATGACGCTCGGCGAAGTAGACCCGAGGAAGTGACCGTTCACTTCTTGATGTCTTTTCTTCAATTCGCTTTGAACCTCTGTCTATTACAGGATGAAGGAAACCGAGAGGTACGACCGCGGGTCGAACGCCTAAAAGCTACGATCCTCGTTGCTGGCCATGATATTAGCGCAGAAGATGATGGTGGGATTTGCATGATGGACCGGCAGCCCGATGGTTGGAGGATGGTAAAACCATACCTGGCCCTCGTTGAGGCGAAGAAGGCGTTTAAATATCTCGACTTTGACGAGCGGACGGGACAACCTAAGCCAGTAGTGTCAAATGAGACTCTGGCTCAGTACCTTGGCGAAGCGGTGATGATATGGCGAGCAAACCGAACACATCTGCACCAAGAGTAAATATACCATTGGTTTGTGGCACCTTTTGCAATTATTGACGTGTGCTTCCATCTGCAGTGTCTTCCTCCTCGCAGCGACTAATACTTTTCTACGTGTCATTCATTTCAAATTCGGCTCTCATTATGGTGAATACGTCGATGCTACAAGCAAGGAGGCACAGACGATCCTGGTCGATGACGAAAACAAAGACACGTTTATCTACATGAACAGCACTAAATGGTTTAATCTTCAGACGTCTGGGGGAAGAAAGTCCGCGCTGTGTCATATTCTAGCGATAATAAGGTGGCATGACAAACCTTACACCATATCATTACCTGCTATTCAAGACTGCAGTGACCGTGACCCTGAGGCTGGCTACAATGGCCCCGAGGTTGACCACAGTGACGAGGCTATCTCCAGTGGAGATGACGATGATCTCCCCCCCATGGAAGACCATAGCGATCAGGATACAAATATGGATAGTTTCTAGGAGATTAAGTAAGGCAGAAGGTAGCCTATGGGATCGATGGCTGTGCACTAAGGGAGAGTGAGATGAATAACGAAAGGCCCTAGCGAGGTGATTTCAAGAGGTCGGGGTAAATGAAGTCTTCTTACATTATCCTTAGTTAGTTACATGTTTTTTTGTTTTTGACTATTAATTGTGTCCCACCAAATTGTGATTTTCGGACATTGCGATTTCCTACCTACTACATACAGTCTACCTCATATGGCTTCTGGGCCTCTTGTATGTCTTTTTAAATGTGTTGACCATCTCCTGAGCAACCACTCCAACCACGGAAGCTACATAGACTATTTATTGGCCTTTCTCTCTTTCCCTCTTCTCTTTCTCTCTCTCTCTCACACACCATCACAATGGGCATCATCATCGCTCTGCACACATTGGACACATTCTCATAGCAAGTGGGCTTATTACCATGCCGAACGAACTGGCAGTACGCGCAACAGGCCGCCAATAACACAACCACCATAAAAGGACGAAGCTTTACCATTCATGCAAGCTAACTCGAACTCTTCCGTCAACGCCTCCACGGACTAATTCACCACTGGACCAACATCGTCAACATCAAATTCACCACAAAGATTTTACTTTTGTTATTTGAATCTTTTCTTCTCTTTTCTTCATGTTGAGTATGGAAGATGTGGAGGGAGAGGAGGGGGAGAGGAGCTTCAGCCAGTGGAGCAGGATCAGCATGCTGCGAAGTGGTCGGCAGATTGATCTGCTTCTGTCCTTGAACTGACTACATATACTCTATCCTTACCTTATCCTTACATTTTCCTTTTTATATGGTTAGATAGCACTGACTAAGAGCTCACCCTCCGCAAGAGTAAGTCTACCATTGGGTTTGTGGCATTATATTGCTCCTCTTTTGCAATTGTTGACACGTGTTTCTATCTACAGTGTCTTCCTCCTCGCAGCGACGAATGCTTTTCTACGTGTCATTCATTTCAAATTCGGCTCTCATTATGGCGAGTACGTCGATACAGAAAGCGAGGGAACACAGAAGATCCTGGTCGATGACGAAAACAAAGAAACGTTTATCTACATACACAGCACTAAATGGTTTAATCTCTAGTCGCTTGGGGGGGGGGGGGGGAGTCCGTCTATTCATCTTCTTCCGCTGCTACGCCCGCTTCTCCTCCTCTAGCGACGGTTCGTTCCAACGTGCTCTCAACGCACGGAACCACTGGGAGCTCAACGCCAAGGGTCCCGATATTTCGGCCCCGTGGCTCGGTCTCCCCAGCTGGTACTTTGCCGCAGCGCGAGGCAGACCCTAGGTTTAAAGTATGCTTTTCAAGGAGATCAAAGAGGAAACAAAGCTGATCTCGTCGATTTTTAGAGCTTAGTACGGGATAATAAACAATGTGTGTTAACCAAGCGTGGCCAGCCTACCATACAAACAGCACACATTGTACCCAACAAGCTGAATCAAACAACCAACCGTCACCTTACCAAGCAGGATTGTTGGGCGTGGCTTGATGCATTCTGGGGTAAAGACCGTGTTGATCAATGGAAGGCACAGCTGCTGACAGGGGATGTGATCGGAACTGAGCGAGTGTCGAATTTGATCACCCTTGAAATGCAAACCCATGAATATTGGGACCGCGCCTCGATCGCATTCCGTCCTGTGTGGATTAATGCTACAAATACAGAGATGCATATCGCATTCCACTGGCTTCCGTTTGTCAAAGATGGACCATCGGCAATTCACATCAAGCAGACCGAGCTTGTACCGACCCAGGAGCACATCTTTAGCGACCCATACTATAAACCTCGTATGGGCCCTGGGATGAATAACGTGCTTTTCCATACGGAGACACTCAAGCCGATCGTCTCTGGCTATGTTTTCAAGATGTCCACCACCAACGCAAAGGAGCGGCCACTGCCGTCGATGGAACTACTGCAACTGAAGTGGAACTTGTCCCGCATCGCTGCGATGCAGGGGCCTGCCGAGGACGAAGACAGCGATTACGAGTCCGACGGAGGCTCTGTTGCCGTTCCCGCAGGTCCTAGAACGCCAGTTAGAGGACGGCGCATGTCTGATGAGAATAGGCCACCCTTCCGTTCCTCTATCCAATCATTGTCTCCATCAAAGTTGCAGAATCTGTCGTTGGAGGACGACAACACATCCAGCTACCTCGTTGAGTAACGAGTTCCTTTTTCTTGCTGTTGTATCTTTGACGATGCCACGACTCCTGAATAGGGCTGACCTGGTGAGAGGGTTCGGCTTCTTCTGTTCCTTTTAACAATCATACTATTTTTACCATTTTAGACCCGAAATTCATTCAAGGTCTATAGAAGGGCATCTTCATATTATTACGTGTCGAATTGTTTTACACCACAGCTTACCACCCCTAAGCCGATGGCCAATCAGAGAGAACGAACCAAACCATCGAAATAATAATTCGACATTGGTACGTATAACAAACTCTCCAAGCCGACCTAGACGACGAGAAACCGACCAGCAATTAGGCCAAAGCCCTACCATTCTTACAAGCCACGCTTAACTCTTCCGCTAATACCTCTACCGGCTATTCGCCACACAAGCTTATATATAGCGTGGAGCTGAAGCAACTACTAGATATAATACGGCAAGCCTTCGCAACCAGCCAAGACTTTATAACTAGACTGGACGCGGAACACAGCTTGGCCTATACGGCTATAGTAATGAAAAATTACTACGACAAGTCCCACATCCGGAAATGGTACAACCCAGGCGACTTTGTCTACTTACGACTCGGACACGGATACGACATCAAGGCCAATCAGGGACTGCCGAGAAAACTAGCCCAACGATTCGTAGGCAAGTTCAAAGTCTTATAACGAGTTGGATCCCTAGTATACAAACTCGATCTCCCAAGTTCCTAGAAGATTCACCCAGTTATTAGCGTTGAATGTGACGATCGAGGCAGGAACGACTTCCCTTGTTCCTTCCAAGAAGGGCAAACAGGTTAAGCGAAGCAATGTCGAGTTTTGCACTGGGTGCAAACAGAAAGGATATAAGAAGGAGGAGCACCCTCATAGATAGTTTTCCCTTTCTCCCTTTTTCCTTACGCTTAGAATTTTGAACCCAATGCACTCTTTCCTTGATTGACCTGGCATGTAACATTGAACACCTAGAGCTAGATCCACCCGGTAAAGATCTCTGGGAAAGAACCCCCGAGCCAGCTCAATTGCCAGAGATAGGGCCCCAAGCTATACAAGCAGTCATCAGTAAGCGGACTCGGAACGTTAGACGCCCGAGAGCAGACAGAACTAGAGCTCAGAGAACTGAATACCTTGTTAGATTCGTGGGCCGTAGAGCTACAAATGATCAATGGATTTCGGCTTTAGAGCCGGGCTACTCCAGCTGGTTCGAACAATACGACCAGCGGGGTAGTCGCAACTAATCCTAACTCAGAAACATTAATCATTTTTACGGGAGATATTTGAATGCATTCCTTACACAATCAACCAAGCTTATACAACAAGCAAACAATTCTTACAGCTCTTACTTTAAGCTTACTTAATCCTTACCTATATACCTTCCCCGACACTATTTATACCTACCTATCCCTTAAAATCTTCTCTTTCCTCTTCATACAACTTCCTTTATTTAAACAAAACACACTGCAACATGCCTACTAAACGCAAGAACTCACTGGCCGACGATAATACCAGGCCAGTCAGCAAAAGGACGAAGCCGGGCTCAAGGGCTCACACTAAACAGCTAATAGACCTTATAACTAAAACTGATATGGCTTACACAACCGCGGACGAAGACAAGTATACCCAGGTAATAGAATGGTCGCAGAGAGAAGCTGATAAAAGACTCGACGCCGACGCCGACTACACTGGACACACAATATAGAGCCCAGGCGAAGAACCCCCGACTAACTTTGGCAAAGTCCTGACCGCGGCTGAGATGGCAGAAGCACCACTTTACATCCAAAACGAGATCGACCAAAACGGCGAATAGGTTCCGCCACCACGCGGTATGAAGCTGAGTGACGAAGGTGTCTATCTAGCCGTTAAAAATATGTCTGCTATAGAGCGCGGAGAAAGATTCCCAGTCGACTTCGACAAAAATGGATACGTCCGAGCTACACGTATCCCAGACCCTGTACCACTCGGTTGGGTATACAACCTACCTATAATAATGGTGGTATAAGGAATAATCCCACTCGTTGGACAACTGTATACCAGAAAGCTGGGCAACCTCACCTTGAAAACTGACGCCAATATCAAAAACTCCCCGGCTTTCACGGTCGGCCTAGTGGTCGCATCGAAATCCGTTATTAAAATGAGCAGATCGATCCAGCGCCAATATGTGACCCATAAGCCCGACCGGGGGTACAAAATGGAGTACAACTTGGATACCGCAGTTGACGTGGTCTCCAATGACCACCAGGACATGGCAATCCTCCTAGGTGACTGTCATACTGGCGCCCAAAGCCGTCTACCTTCCAGCCGACCTTTCAAGTTATAAAACTCTATCACCGCACAGAGAACGTTACATTTGTTCTGAGGGTCGCGTAGGTAGAAGAGTTTAATGTCGCAGTAGCAGACCGAGTCCAGAAGCTCTGTTACGGGTATGTGCTTCGGAAGATCACTCTGAAAAGTGGGATTTTGTTTACACTTGCTCAGAGAGGAGTCGTTAGGTAGGGAGGTATTCTGTGGAAGTAAGATACCGGGTCGGGTCCTAGTAATAGCTGACCAGAGTTGGATGGTAGTAAATTGGACATTTATACTCCTGTGATAAAAAAACCGCGAATATACCCAATGATACCGATAGATCACACAAAAGACATCTATATCTAGAGTATTCTTATCTTTCGTTCGTCTAGAAATTTTGCGCTTAGCCGGGAATTTACTATTAAGAAACTATGCTCTACTTAGCTCAATCCCCTTTAGAATAGAAAGAGCAACTGTACGCGTTGTATCTGCTTATAAATATCGTTACTAACACTACGGCGGGCGAATAGCTTAAAGTATTGATAAAGGCGGCGCCAGTATTCGTCGTATGATTGAAGTGCTTTCTTTCGCGATATCTTAAACTTCCAGTCAAAAAAGTTCACATAAATCGCTTGGTCTTCTAGTAGAAGATAGTCCACGTAGTTATGGTTCGATTGAATGTAATATCTATTCTGGTATTAGTGCCCAGCCCTAAGGCTTTCATTTCATCAAGATTAAACCCACTTCCGCCAGTACCGTTCGACCACGGCGATTCCTATCAGTGTTCTTGGCTTGAAGTTTGGAGGAAGCCATCCGAGACTACAGAAATGCTGCAATCTGGCTTACGTTTCCTCGCAAAGGATTGGATCGGTCCAGAACTGGTGATCAACTTGAGCTAGAGGGGCGGATACAGTCTCCACAGGGAGAATTAAGAGACAAAGGTCAAGGTTTCGATTCTATGATAGGAGTCTTGAGAATTAGGTGTGTAGAGGTCGATCGAGGCAGCGGAGGTGGGATGGGAAGGTTGTTGAAAGAGCCACCGGGGGGAGGGCAAACGAAGTATCTTATAGCAGCTCGACCAGGCTGGGCAAAATTGAAGGCGGCCTGGATTTGTATGCAGAGGAGAGCCATTTTCGGCGTCTTTTTGGTCGCCAGTGGAAACAGTGGGAATAATCGTTGAAGTCGAGCGTCAACAAAAGCAAGAGTGTATGATGACTAACAGTCCTGGTCGGGTGCATAATAGAGGGCAGCGGGCGGTCAGGCGGCGACTCGCCGTCTAAGTTACGGGTGGAAAGGCGGCCGTTTCTGGCACCAGAGGCTGTCATTTTCGGCGTCGTTTTCACAGGTCCCTATATTCTAGATGTAAATGAACAAGGCAGTGCACCCATGCCCAGATATTAACTGCACATCTAATTATCTTTGCGTCATTGGCAGGCCAAACAATCATCCGGACCACAAATGTATAGATCTTTTATGCTATGCAACATAAAAACGGGCGGTGAAGCCCAGTTCCGAATGAAGTGTTAGTAGTCCAACACAGAAAATTAGGGGTTTGGGAGTATATATCAGAGTGACATGGGATAAATTGGGTATGGTTTTATGAAAATCACATAAAACCGAATTCCAATCCGATTATTGCCAGCGATAGAGAGTCTGTGGCCAGAATGATGTTCCCAGATCGACGCTTCTGCTAACAAGAAAAACATAACCAATTTGCTTGTGCTTTTATTCTTATCTCCAAGTCCATTACTTCTCCATGCTTAGGTATTTCGCCTCGGCGCCCTTGATGCACGCAATGTTGGCACCGAGCTTGTTGATCGTCTCAATGTACTCATCATAGGGGTCCGAGTCGAAGACAATACCACCACCAGCCTGGAGGTACGCCACGCCGTTCTTGACCATCATAGTGCGCAGCGCAATACATGTGTCCATCGCACCGGGCATCTCGGCTGAGCCATCTTCGTTCGCGCTGTTATATCCAAAGTATCCAACGGCACCAGCGTAGACGCCGCGCTTTTCACCCTCCAGCTCGGCGATGAGCTGCATGGCGCGCACCTTGGGTGCGCCGGAGACTGTACCAGCAGGGAAGATAGACCGGAATGCATCGAATCGGGTCATACCGGGTCGCAATACCCCCGAAACTTGAGAGACCAGGTGCTGGACGTGTGAGAACTTCTCCACGACCATCAGTCGGTCGACCTGTGTTGTTGTGGGGTCGCAGACCCGGTTCACGTCGTTGCGGGCTAGATCGACCAGCATGACGTGCTCGGCACGGTCCTTGAGACTGCTGCGGAGCTCCTCGGAGAGGGCGGCATCCTCCTCGGGGGTCTTGCCGCGCTTCACTGTACCTGCGATGGGGTGGCTGATGATACGCCCCCGCTCTTCCTTTACCAGGAGCTCGGGGCTGGCTCCGACAAGCTGGAAGTCTTGACAGTCAATGTAGAACAAATAAGGGGAAGGGTTGACAGTGCGAAGGTGGCGGAAGAGGTTGAATGGGTGGAGAGAGGTGGGCCGTGATAGCCGCTGTGACGGGACGGTCTGGAAAATATCGCCCTTGGCGATGTGCTGCTTCAATCGGTTGACGTGACCTTCATATCCCTCCTGTCCGATGTTGGATGTATACTCCTGATTCGGAATGATCGGGCCCTGGGGCGGAAGTGGTGTGCGGTCCTGGAGTAGCTTCTCAATTGTCTTCTGGATGATGGACTGGCCCTTGAGGTATGCGGCCTCGATATCGGCATCCGCCGAGGGAATTGGAACGTAGGTGATAACCTTGACGACCTGGAAGAAATGATCGAATGCAATGATGGTGTCGTAGAGCATAAAGAACGATTCCGGCACTCCGAGGACATCCTTCAGCGGCCGCGCCGTCTTGGGCTCAAAGTATCTAACACAGTCGTATCCAACATATCCGATCGCTCCGGCGGTCAATGGCGGAAGGACCAACCCAGGTACTGTCGCGACGCGGAATCGAGAAAGCTCATCCTCGAGGTATGGGAGGGGATCTGCTGCTGGACCATGGCCCTCGCCGGTCTTGATGACCTTTCTGGGGTCTGTATGGGAGGAAGTGGTAAGCGATGGAATCGGACCAAAAACTCTCGATATCACCCACCTGCGCCAACAAAACTATATCGCCCAATGGTCTCTGTGGTAGCAGCACTTTCAAACAAGAATGACAACCGCGAGCTATCGCTGCGTGTCAGCGATTTTGTCCAGCATCCCATGTCCCCGCCTTATCGCGAATGTTGGAAAGAACCCCATGACTCACTTCTCTGCAATCTTCAAGTAGGCCAATGTCGGGGTTAAAAGGTCGGCAGCAATCGAAGCCGTGACAGGAAGTAGGTTGGGAGGGTACTCGGAGTTCCTCGACTTTGAGATAACTTCTCGCGCCGTCTCGAGGGACGGAATGGTGGCGATCTGACTCATTGGTCAATGAGCGGAAACAAAATCTCGGGGGTGTCGAACAGTGGAGAAATCCAGTAGCAAGACGGACGTGTACTTACAGCAGTTGCCATGTTGTTATAAGTGGCTGATATCGACGATGCTAGTCAAGAGAAAGGATTGAATGGGCGGTGGGAAAATGATTCACTGTGGGTGGGTACATGTATGTATTGACGGCCGCCGCGTGCAGGAATGCGCCCCGGCCTGCATGTATCGGATTCGACCTCGGAGGTTTAACAAGATAAGCAATGGTGATATAAATTTTAGGGCTTCTTATGTATGAGCTGAAAACCAAATCTCGCGCGACCTTGAAAAGCTTACACGTCTCACAAGTGTGCCGGCGTTTGGTTATATGCAGCCAAAAGCGGACTAGCGTCGAGGGGTACATATCGATTATCGATAAAGGCCTAGCGACGTCGGGACTGTAGGATGTACCTATATTGTAAATACAAACACTTCAGTGGAGAATCGGGGTATTTCCTTGATTATCAGACACTAACAGTGAGTTTTAGAAATCACAGAGTCCACCTGAGATGGGCCATGGGAAAAAAGGCAAAAGAAAGAGTCCACCATCGCCGGTCCATGTTATTCGCCGTGTCCACCCAAACCGGTCCCAAGCAATGCATGCCATTATGCATTTTCTAAAAACAAATGTATGTTCACAGAAGGCAAAAAGTAAAAAAGAAAATCGGGAAAACTATGAAGGGTGATGTGTCTTCGAGGGAAAGAGAAGGCTTTTCGAGCGGGATTGTCGGATTAGTTCAAGCAGGGCATGAGTCGTGAGTTTTACGTGGCTGTTTCAAACCCACTCTGTCATCGCTGCAAATTGATGATAGCCATCTTCGGACATCCGTCAGTATGGGGAGAATTGATACAGGTAACCAGGGAGCTTACCTGTTTGTCGAAGCCATAGGCCAGTCGTTTTCCATCTGCATCCCAGGAAAGGGCCCGATGGGGATCTGATTTTGAATAGCCATTCTGTTCATGGTGTCCATTGTGTCCATTGGTCATGCGGTCGGCTTCCTCTTTCTTCACCTCGGGGCTAGTTGCGGTCCAGGTAGACATGAGATTACCGCCAGTCTG